AAATATATCAAGGTTTTCCATACCTTGACTTAGGACACTTCCCCAAATGGAGATCCCAGGAGACAATCCACTGACTCCATACCTGCAATGGTCCAGATTTGCAGGTATCTTATAAACTTGGAATAAACCAGGTTTATTCCAGGCTGAAATGGATTAGCCTGAAACATCATTTGCATGCCTCTGGCTAATCCATTTCCTATCTCACATTATGCAGCTGTGTAGATTGGACCTCAGTCCTGAATCAGGATGAAAACTGCAGGAAAGAAGTAAGAATACGACTTGGATGGGAAGCTATGAAGAAACTAGTTAATATACTGAAGTATAAAGATGTATAATCAATTACTAGGGTTAGAATGGTCCAAGTCATTGAACTGTCAATTCCTTTTATTAAAAAATGGGTTAAACCTTAAGCTGGCAGGACTCCTGACCGAAAGGCTGATGGTTCAAATTCAGGGAGCGGGGTGAGCTCCCGTCTGTCAGTTCCAGCTTCTCATGCAGAGACATGAGAGACGTCTCCCACACGGTGGTAAAACATCTGGGTGTCCCCTGGGCAATGTCCCTGCAGATGGCCAATTCTCTCACACCAGGAGCAACTTGCAGTTTCTTAAGTTGCTCCTAATACAGAAAGAATCCTGCTAGTTCCTAAATATAGTTGTGAAAGCTGGACAGGAAAGAGAGCAGATAGGAAGAAAAATTGCTTATTTTAAATGTGGTTCTGTGACTACTGTGGGCTGCTAAAAAGAGAAATAATTCAGGCCTGGAACAAGTTCAACCTGAACTCTTCCTAGAAGTGAAGGTGACCAAACAGAGGCTGTTATACCTTGGCCATATTATGAGATGACATGATTCACTAGAAAACAGACGAATGCATGAAAGGTGGGAGGCATATGAAAAGATTAAAGCCATATTCCAAATAGATAGACACAGTCAAGGAAGCCACAGCTCTGAATTTGTAAAACCTGAGCAGGGCTGTTTGAGGTTACTCGTTCATGGGGTCTTCATAAAGTAAAGGATTTGTTCAGTCTTAAAACACCACCATTTTAATTTCAGTATCAACTAATTTCAGTATCAACATTAGGGGAAAAAAAGCTTTATTTATATGTTGAAAAAGCACCTGCAATTTTAAGCCACATTCTATTGTTAGAGATGTCTATATGGGGGACAAGTGTGTCTCAGGGGCCCTTCCACACAGCCATATAACCCAGAATATCAAGGCAGATAATCCACTATATCTGCTTTGAATTGGGTTATCTGAGTCTACACTGCCATATAATCCAGTTCAGTGTAGATTTCACACAGCTGTGTTGAAGGGACCAGAGAATCAAAGAAACACAATATTTAAAATGCAGAGTTTTTATCTGGTTTGATGATGGGTACAAATTTCTCTTGAGACTATTTCAAAAATGTGATGAATATATTTATTGTAAATTAAAACATGACAGAAAAGAAAACTGGCATTTTGTTTTCCAAATATATAGTTTCTTTGTCAGTATATTATGCTATGTTTGTCAGTATATTATGCTATTAAAGACATACAGTACTGGTTCAAAACAAAATAAAATCAGTGAATATTCTGAGTTCCAATCTTCGGTACACATTATTGCTAGGATACTACTATAAAAATTAAAATTAAAAAAAAATTCTGCCTCAAGACAACAAATACCATATTTTTACGTCCAGAGTCAATTACGGAGATCACATTAAACGCACATGTATAACTTTGAACAACATGCCAGTGTGGTTTAAGAGTTTCGAGTGTTGAACTCCAACTCTAGAAAACTGGGTAAAACTGAATAAGTCACACTCTCTCAGCCTCAGAGAAAGGCAAGGGCAAGCTCTCTCTGAATGAATTCTGCCAACAAAACAGTATGGCAGGATTGCCATAAGTCAGAAACTACTTGAAGGCACACAACAACATTGGTATAAACCTGTGGTTCTCAACCTGTGGGTCCCCAGGTGTTTTGGCCTTCAACTCCCAGAAATCCTAACAGCTGGTAAATTGGCTGGGATTTCTGGGAGTTGTAGGCCAAAACACCTGGAGACCCACAGATTGAGAACCACAGGTATAAACAGATGCAAATTTAGAAATAGTTTTCAATCATTTAGATAGAATTACGCCATTTATCCAAACGTTGTGTTGTCTTCTGTTCAGAGGTTCACCTTTTTATCTTCTTGCTTATGATTCTTCACTTTTAAATACAACTTGGGGTGCATCATGGGAATTGTAGTTTTTGCTTTCTCTGCCAAAGAGTTCTGATGTCTCACCAAGCTACAATTCCCAGGATTCCACAGTATTGAGCCATGGCAGTTTAAAAGGTGTCAAACTGCATTAATTCTACAGTGAAGATGCATCCTTTGCCTGGACAGGGTTTTCTTATTAGGGTTTCCAGATTTCAAATCGAAACTTATCTAGTCCTCCGAGTGAAGAATCTCAGGACAGGAACACCACCTCAATTGTGAGACCTGTGGTCCTTTAATACTACACAATTATAGCTGTCATGGCAGGATCCTGTGGCATCTTGGGGTTTGTACTCTGAGGAAGCCTTGGCACTCTCTGGCTGAGAATTATAAATATGCACAACGGCAAATCCTGGATTTCCTTGGGATGGAACCACGGCAGATCAAGTGGAACCACAGTTCTCAAGTGCTGGAGGGTTCTTGGTCTTTTGTATTTAAATAAAATATTAAATACAATTGTGGTTGATGCTTAATGTCTCAGACTTACAGACATTGTCAGAACCTGCCCCTCTGAGGCATCACAAGGGGTTCCTTAGTCAAAACCAAGTTGCAGAGGGTGTTTTCTTCACTTGTTTTACGATTTTGGCAGAGGGTTCTCAAAAGCAGACAACTGGATCCATCACCCACCCATGGGGTAATGGCTGGGTAAATTATGGCTTCCTCCCTCCTCTTGGAATGCTTTTCATGATGCCACTTGACAGTAATGGAGAAATATTCCTAAGCCATAAGGGCTGCTTTAAAAAGAATATAAAGACTGTTCTAGATCAAAACTTCTTAAACTAGTGGTTCTCAACCTGTGGGTCCCCAGGTGTTTTGGCCTACAACTTCCAGAAACCCCAGCCAGTTTACCTGCTGTTAGGATTTCTGGGAGTTGAAGGCCAAAACATCTGGGGACCCACAGGTGGAGAACCACTGTCTTAAACCGTGGCTAGCTATGGAGTGTGGAATGTGGAGGTGCCAAAAATATTGACAACAGTAAAAGGCTTCTGAACGCCACCTAGTGGCTATTTTAGATATTTACATAAACCTGTTAGCGACAATGCAGTGTTTATAGCGGACTCTATAGAAAATACTTCAGCTGTACTTCATAAAAGGGAAAATCAGCTTGTGTTCAGGAAGCTTGTAAATGCTGATTTACTATTGGCAAATATTGTGCAAATATTTCTCAGGCGGAAAAGAGTTGCAAGTCGGAAAAAAAAGTAAGAATTCCGTATTCTAATGAGCCTGCATCTAACTCTGGTTATAAAGAACCATGAAAAAAGAGTCATCACTTCACAAGACAACAATTTCCTGGAACCATATTTCCAGCATCACAGTATATATTTATATTTATTTCCTATTTGTGCTCTGACTTCTTCCAAAGAATCCCTGAGGATCTTCTATCCTTTGCACTACCCAAAAAATCTATCTAAACAGCTGGTCCAGGCTGTTTGGAGGACTGTATCTTCCTATATGAGCCTGCCAGCCCTTTCAGAGTTTTGGGAGAGGCCTGGGACATTGAGTAGGAATAAGGGAGAAAGATGCTTGGTGATAAGTCCCAAGCTTTGGGCCTCTCTCCGTAGGGAGGCAGGTGGCTCCTTCTTTCTGTCCTTTTGCCAGAAAGTGAATTTTATTCCATTCCAACAAGCTTTTAGGATCGCTCTGAGTATTCCGGGCTGTATGGCCATGTTTCAGAAGCATTCTCTCCTGACATTTTGCCCACATCTATTGCAGGCTTCCTCAGAGGTTGTGAGGTCTATCGGAAACTAGGCAAGTGAGGTTTATATATCTGTGGAATAATATCCAGGGTGGGAGAAAGAACTCTTGTCTGTTTGAGGCAAATGAGAATGCTGAAAATGACCACCTTGATTAGCATTTAATGGCTTTGCAGTTTCAAAGCCGGGCTGGTTGCTGTCTGGAGAAATACTTTGTTGGGGGGTGATTAGCTGGCACTGATTGATTCTTGCCTGGATTTCCCCTGCTTTTTGAGTATTCATCTTTATTTACTTTCCTGATTTTAGAGTTGTTTACTACTGGGAGCCAGATTTTGTTCATTTTTGGGTTTCCTCCTTTCTGTTGAAATTGTCCACATGCTTGGTTATTTCAGTGGTTTCTCTGTGTAGTCTGACATGGTAGTTGTTTGAGTAGCCCAGCATTTCTGTGTTCTTTTTCTCCTACCCTGGGCCTTCCACAGATTATATAAACTCTACTTGCCTAGTTTTCACCAGATCTCTCAACCTCTAAGGATGCCTGCCATGGATGTGGGTGAAACATCACGAAAGAATGCTTCTGGAGCATGGCCATACAGTCTAGAAAAGTCAGAGCAACCCTAAAACCTTGTTGGAATTGAATAAAATTCACTTTCTGGCAAAAGGATAGAAGGAAGGAGCCACCTGCCTCACAATAGAGAGAGGCCCAAAGCCTGGGAGAGAATGCTTCTGGAACATGGCCAGAAAACTCACAGCAACCCAGTGATTCTGGCCATAAACGCCTTCGACAAGCATTTAGGAGTTGACCTAAATGGGCTTCTAATGGGTTTGCTGATTTGTTGATTTTTATCTTTGGTCTTTTAATGTGAGTTTTAAATGGTTCTAATTCTATTGCAATTAGCTAGATCATTTAGTTTAATTGCATTTTAAGAACAACTTTTACATCATTTACTGATGTACTTGCATGTATATGTTTTCATTTTTGCAAGCTGCCTTGAATTCCATTATTGGGAAAAAGGCAGGATACAAATGAACAAATAAGTAAGGAAAAAACCTATTTCAAGCACATCTTGTTAGAAGGGAAGTCTAAAATCAGCTAATTAGAGCTGGTATAGACTCTCCCTACAGAGTTGGAAGGGACTTGAAGGGCATCTTGACTTTGTTTCTTACACAAAGAAGAATTATCTATTTATAACCACCACCACCCCACCACCACCATCTTCCAAAGAATCCTATTCCAGTTACTGTGTACAACAATACAGGTGGCAAAAGCACCACAAAAGTTTCATCTGTGTGATCCCACAAGATGAAACTGGTCAAGCATCACACTGTTAAGGGTCTAGGACTGAAACAAATGGAATGGAAAGGGCAAATGGCACAGATATGTGCAATGTCCATACCAAGTGCTACTCCATTGTACCATATTGCCTCCACCCATAAACGGAATAGATTGCTCCCATAAACACTAAAGATGTCATACAGTTCCTTGCCTGGTGATTAACTTCCTCCCCTAATGTGAAGATGAGGGGTCTTGCCCACTTGGAGAAGGCACTTCAGAAGGTATCCTTGGCTGCCACCAAAGTGGCCATCACAGCCTCCAGGTGCTCTTGCGAGATGTAGGCCACCAGACCTCCTTGATTGGCCCAGCGCTCGGCACCCACAGAGCCCTCCACTGGCTTGTTGTAGGTCAGTCCGGGGAGCTGATTGCGTTGCCCATCCTGCCATGCCTGCAATGACAGCAAAAGATCCACCATGCCCCCTCCCAGGGCCCGCAAGATCGCATGAGGGCCACAGGAGTCCCATTTGAAAGTGCTCCCCTCCGAGAGCACATAGGCATCTGCAAGGCCCAGGGCCACACACAGCATCTTGTACCCAGCCCCAGAGGCAAAGTAGAGCTGCTCCCCATAGAGAGGGGCCAGAGCCTTTTGCAGGGCTGGTTTCTCATTGCTGCTTAGCACCACACGCGGGGTAGGCCGCAGCATGGGCTGGCTGAGCGAGCTCAGGTTGGTGCCTTTGTAGGAGATGCCCCAGTGATATTTGCTCTGCCACCTGCAAGGGAGAGTGGGAACAGTCAGTTAAAACTTGTAAGAAGATGCAACAAAGCTTTGAAAGGGTTCCTTTTTTGGACTACAAATCCCAGAATCCCCTCTGCTGTAGGGTTCCAGGAGCTGTAGTCAAAAGCAGTCTCTTTTCCAAGTTCTAAAAAACATCATGAAATTAATAGTCCTTAGATGAGAGAGAAACTTGACAGCGACTCTTCCCAAATTATTGATTGGATCAAGGAAGTTCATTGAGGGCTGCTACTAAACATTGTGAGGCAGTCTAATTGCATTATTGGTTGCAGGCAAAAAAAACATAATCAAAAAGGGGCATGGATGGAAGGAAGAGGGAAGGTTTAGCAAATGAGAACCATGGGATCAGCTCCATGGGATCTTTAAAACAGCTAATTTGTTTTGGAAAGGCATGGAAAACCAGGCATCTCCATAGCCTTTTGGAAGTGTGACCCTTTTGGAGATTAATTGGCATTCACACTATTTGGAATAATCATAATTTTTTGTAAAGTATGATCTTCCTGAGAACAGTTAAATATTCGTTTGAGTGAATCTTCTCCTTAGTGGTAAATATCCACTAGTATTTATGCAAGGCAAATTCAGCTTCTCAGTTGTTAGACTGATATAACTGGTTATCTCTCTGAACTGTTAGGAACAAAGATATGCCAATGCACAAAATATATAACAGATCTTCAGAAGTGTTATTTCAGTTGCCCAAAAATTACTTACTCTCCCATAAAATATATTGTTTTTTAAATCGTGTTCTCAAGAGAACTAAAGAAGTAGTCTTTGTTAAAAGTAACATAGTTGATTTACTTGCAAACTTCATGTATTCAGCATATAGGTATGTTTCTTATTGGCTGATATTTTAAACAGTAAGTTCTCTAAAGTATTCTGTTTTAGTCTCTTCTCTGTTGCATACAGACTAACACTCTCTACAGTCTAATATATTACTGAACATTGACTCAATAAAGACTGGCTACTCGCTACAGCATACTGACACTAACCACAGCATACTAACACAATTGCATACTGTACTCACTGGCTTCTAAACTGTACTGATGCAAACTCTAACACACACTATACTGTACTGTACTGAATTCTAAAAATGGAGTCTCAGTCTGAATAACCCCAGATCTGGTCACATGGTCTGAAGTCCCTCCCACAACCTCAAACAACATAGAGTTAAGGGACAACTGCATACTAAATCATATACATACAATATAGTAAGCAATCACAATTATATACATAGCAAAGAACTAGTATAGGAGGCTTGTAGAACAATTTGGGAACCAGACTGTTTGTGTGTACTCTAAGTGTGTGCTTGATGGACTTAGTGTGTTTAGATGTTCCCTGTAGCTATGTTAGGAAATAAAGAAAGACACCCCATGTGTGTGGCAGTAAAAAAAATAACCTCTTCAAAACAAACTTCACAGTATTAACCTTTGTGTCAGGCCAAGATACTTGTCTGCTTGAGGTACTGATGCCAATTTGGCATCAGTACAGAAGCAATTTGGACTGGCAGCATTAATCTTCAACCTTGTCTTTCATCACCCTGGAGGTCAGCAAACTAGTTTAATGAGCTGAAACCATGACCAGAGGCACAGATGCTGTTCTATGCTCAGACAAGGGGAAATAGTTAGACCAGTGGTTCACAACCTGTGGGTCCCCAGGTGTTTTGGCCTACAATTCCCAGAAAATCCCAGCCAGTTTACCAGCTGTTAGGATTTCTGGGAGTTGAAGGCCAAAACACCTAGGGATTCACAGGTTGAGAAACACTGATAGAAGACTCAGGAGGAATGGCTGGGTGGCTGTGACCAGCCTGACCCTGAATCAGCATGTGCTGAGCTTATCCCATCTTGTGAGCCATCCTGGATCCCACTCTGAGAGGAAAATAGGTTGTTAAATAAATAAATAAAGTACGACCCTCTTATCCATGGGGAAAACAATTGTTCTTGAACTTACTATGGAAGCAGGAAACTCTGGAAGTTAGTGCACCCCACTGAAATGAATGATTTCTGCCAGAAGATACAATCGAATTGTATTAAAGGACCTAGAAAATTCCTTTAAAATATCTCCTCTAGCAATTTGCCAGGTTGTTAAAATTTCTATTGTAACTTCTGACAGAAGAATACTATAAAACAGTCTGGAAGACATATTTTGTCTGATGTGGGTAGATTAAAGTGTGAGTCCTATGGTATGTGGGTTCTCTTCTGTGCACTGTGATGTGTTTGCAAATACATATATTGGAAACTCCTGCGGTGGTAGCATTACCTGTGTGTTTGAGGGTCCTCCTGGAAGAAGGGCTCATTGATGATACCTAGGACAGGTTCTCCTGAGTGACGATCATACACCCCAATAAGCACCAATGCTGAGCGAAGCCCAGATGGATAGATGCCATCCACAGGCATCACATGGCCCCGCCCACGGATGTACTGATTGGTAGAATCTGGAGAGAGAAAACGCATGAGATTAAACTTCTGTAACTCTCTAGTCCTTACATCTTGTCTACAATTAATCCCAGGATGATCTTTAAAGTAGTGAGAAACATCTCGGCTTGAAAGCCACAACACTAGAATGGAAACGCAAATAGGTGGATCTGGTACAAGGCAGTTTCTGATGGTCAGCAAAAACGGATACAGAGGATAAAGGTAAAGGTTTCCCCTGACATTAAGTCTAGTCATGTCCGACTCTGGGGATTGGTGTTCAGCTCCATTTCTAATCCGAAGAGTCGGCATTGTCCATAGACACCTCCAAGGTCATGTGGCCAGCATGACTGCATGGAATGCCGTTAACTTCCCGCCCAGGTAGTACCGATTGATCTACTCACATTTGCATGTTTTTGAACTGCTAGGCTGACAGAAAATAAAGAGAATACTTTATGTCTAAACCGACTGGTCCAATCAAAGAGAGGAGCTGTTTTCCCAGGGCTCCTAAACCCGAAAAACCACAGTAGAGCACTAGAGCTGTTTATAAGGTGGTAGGAAAAATACAGCCTTCCATAGGCTTATGGACTGCAAACCTTAAGAACTCTAGTCAGAATAGTCAAAGGCAAGGAAGTGGCAATCCAGTAGCAGAGAAGATTGCATGGTTCATGCCCCTGATACTGAAGGTCCAAATTATCTCTCATGTAAGGACTGCCTCACTGAGGTGACCACCAAGGGCACAAGTGATTTGTAGTTTTAGTTGGAAACTGTATTATCCAAACATTTTTTATTTATTTATTTGCTGCATTTATATCCTGCTTTTCTCACCCCTAAGGGGACTCAGGGCGGCTCACAAAAAGACACAATTCAATGCCATACATACATAGGATAATGCAAACATATACATTACAACCAAATAATTTAAAATATATCAATCTTAAAACAATTAATTAAATTCAAGCAATCCAAAAGCACATTCCAGGAGCCATTACGGTTGTCAAATTGCATTGTTCTTGCATTAGTTCTCAACCTGTGGGTCCCCAGGTGTTTTAGCCTAGAACTCCCAGAAATCCCAGCCAGTCTACCAGCTATTAGGATTTCTGGGAGTTGAAGGCCAAAAACATCTGGGGACCCCAGGTTGAGAACCACTATTCTATAGTCACATTGCACTGAGAATTATTGTCCAAAGCTTGGTCCCACAACCAAGTCTTCACTGATCTAATTTTGCTGTGGAGGGAGTTCCATAGCTGAGGGATCACCACTGAGAAGGCCCTGTCCCTTGTCCCCACCAATCGCATCTGGGAAGGGAGTGGGATCGAGAGCAGGGATTCCCTGGACTATCTTAACCTCATTATACTCACCAGTTATACTGTTAGGTCTGAGACTTTTTAAAAATAGAATACAAGTATTCTTCACCTCCAAGTGACCAGCTTCTGATCAAAAGAAACTTCGCATAATGCCAAGTTTTTAACTTTGTTTGAGGTTTGTTTAAATACATTATAAGTGTATTCTCAATTTGCTTTTGACACAATAAATACGTAAATATACTTCACCCTTTAGAGATATTCTACTAAATGCAGTTGGTGAACAAGAAACCCACAGGAAAGTGAGGAGAAAACATCTGGCCATAATATGAAAAATGATATCATGACAGCACACAGCAACAGATTTTACCGGCCAATGATCTAACACCGAGCTTCTTAAACCTTTTACACTTGAGAAATGTTGACATGACCCCAGATATATAGGTATATAAAATAGGTCTAAAAACCAAACATTTTTTCTTTTTCTTTCTTTCTCCTTTTAAGTTATTATTTCCTATTGTTCTATCTTCTTTTAAATATTCACCCTCTTTCGCTGTAATCTATAATATTTCAATAAAAAATTACTTCAAAAATAATAATAATAAAAACCAATCATTTACTGATAATAAACCTACATTTTTAAGACTTGCTCAACAAGCTCATTTCCTCTCCTATGAACTACAGCTGAAGCATTTTTGCAGAGTCCATTGGAAACGCTGCATGTTATTGCTAACAGATTTGTGCAAATGGGCGATGTTCTTTTTTTTAAAACTTTTGCCAAATCTTTCATGATCCAATATTGAGCTAAGGGGGTCGCATTTGGGATCGGGATCCAGTGATCTAACTGAATTTAAAGACAATCCCTCTGTTATAATCTGAGTTCACAGGTCCAGCAAGCATTCTCTGAAAAAAAGGCAAGGAACATTCAGCTTTTGAAATGTCGCCAATTTCTGGAGATCCAGACCAACATCTGGAGGCTCACATTTCTGTCCTCCATGTTACAAACTGAAGCCAAATTTTCAGATATTTCAAGTGTCTCACACAGCAGCTTTGCCAATTAGGTCACTTACCGATGGGGTCAATCCACACTGCCAGGTTTTCTGTGGGGATTGACACAGTCACCTCATCCACAGCTGGGTCTGAAAGCACCACCTCTTGGTGAATGGCAGCAGCTAACAGGTCAGCAGCTGTCTGGTTCCGATCCAGGATTTTTTGCAGCAAGGCAGCCGTGTCCTGTTGGGTGGGGCAAACCTGGACCACCACAGTCTCCCCTACAAAGTATACAAATCTCAACCAATTAGACAGACTTTCCCTAGACCTCAATCTGGGAAAACAGATAGTGTCATCAACTCTAGCACAATATGAACAACTGGTAAAGTGCAGGTCGGACTATAGTTTTATTTGGCCTGTTCAACCTATCTTTGGAGATGCAGGAAAAGACTGATGAAGAAGAGGGAGCAAGTTATTATTTCCCCTTCTGTACCCAGTCTCCCAGCAAGTTTGAGACAAGTATACTACTTCAACCATGTACATTCCAGCTCTGACTTAGGAATCCAACACTTGACAGATTGCCCTTTTAGTTAGGAACCTGCAAGAGAGAGACACTTTGCGGGTCCACCCCATGAAATGCTCTCCTAAATTCAGTCCAATTACCCTATACATCCCAATCTTTTCACCACTACATTAAGCCAGTTATCTTCTCCACATTGGTCTCATGGGGTATGATTGGGCGCTCTTTGTGCCATTCAATTAGCCATTTGTTATGGAGGGAAGAATATAAATATCCCCAACAAAACCATGGGTAAATTGTTTTATTACTCATGTTTTTAGTTTCAGTATGTTGTAGTAATTATTAACATAAATGTAAATGTATATTGCAGTTTGTTTATTTTATTATGTTTATACTATTATTGATGTATTTAGACTGTTATTTGTATGATTTTAAGATGTTACAAGCCGCTTTTGGTCCCGTGAGGGATGAAAACGGGTTATAAATAATAATAATAATAATAATAATAATAAGTATTACTACTGCTACTATCAACATAGGACAGGCAGTCCCCAAGTAATGAACAAGATAGATTTGTTCTTAAGTTGAATGTGTAAGTCAGAATAGGTACATTTTTAAGTATGTGTGATGCATGGTTTGGATAGCATAATTTGGGGACTGCTAGTACTAATAAACTGGAGCAAGAAAGCATCATGAAAGCAGACCAAGGGGAGGCCTCTTTCTTCAGGAAAGTACTTTATTGAAAAAAAAGTGAGATTGGAAATGAAGGAACAAGAGCCAATTTCAAGACTAAAGCACACCATAGCAAGCAGAGATGGAAGCCGAAGAATGGGGCCAGAGAGTGAAGGATTCAAGAGATAACAGAATGATACCCCCCTCCCCCCGCCCCCAATGCTCAAGGAGACCATCACTTACCAAGACCATTTTCAAATTTGTTGGACTCTTCACCAAGAATATGATTTTCTAGTTCTGGAAACTGGGGGCAGAAGCAAAATAAAATTAAGCAAAGGAAGGGTGCTACTGAGCTGAGCAGGAAGAAAGTGAATATTATTTAATTTCTTGGTCGGGAAGCCCCAGCTTCCCATCCCACTCTGCCCACTGCACCGTCTACTCGGTGTTTTGCTATTCATGAGGACCACTGGGACAAGGAAGTATCAAGCAAGAGAATGCAGCCATGGCTTGTGCTTCTGCCTTTGTGCTCATTATTTCTAGGCATCATTACAGGCAGGAATAGAGCCATAATATTGAGTAGACAGAAAACACAAGCAGATGGACATCTCTGTCTACTTGCTCGCCCACTGTATTCTTCAGGATGGTGCAGTGAGGGATGGAAAGACATTTCTTTGGCTCAACTAGTGTTTTCATATCTCTTGGGTCTTGCTGGGTGATATTTCCAGGGGTTCTTTGTACAGCACGTACCTCCTTTCCCACATCATGTTTGATGACCTCTTGGATCAACACATCTGCCAGCGTCTTGAAGTCTTGCAGGAACTTCTTGTTCTTTTCTGCCCCTCGCTTCTCCTCAATGAGCAAGCTGAAGAGGGCCTCCTCCTGGCGACAGAGCTGGGCAATGTGGGCTGCCTTCTCTGATGCAGCAAGCAGGCTCCTCAGGAGAGCAGCCATGGTCTCAGTGATCCCTGGACCAGCCTGGGTCTCTGAGCCAATGTCTGCTGGTCTCTAGAAAAAAAGAAAGAATGGGAGGGAATGGGCATAAATGTGGTAGCAGTCGCTGGTACACTGGGAAAAATATTTTCCAGTTGTTCTCTCTCTGCTCCTCAGCTTATTAAACATAATAATAATAATAATAATAATAATAATAATAATAATAATTGAAAAGTTGACAACAGATCCCAAGTGTAGACTCTGCAAGGAAGCAGATGAAACAATAGATCACATCCTCAGAAGATTGCGCAGACAGACTACAAGCAGAGGCATAACACCGTTGATTCATAGGAACTTGTGCCACAAATACCATCAGCCTGTGACAAAGAACTGGTGGGATCACAAGCCTGAAAAAGTTACAGAAAATGAACATGTAAAACTCCTCTGGGACTTCCGAATTCAAACACAGTTTTGGAGCACAATACTCCTGACCTCACGATTGTGTTAAAAAACGAAGTATAGATCATCGATGTTGCAACCCCAGGTGACAGCAGGATTGAAGAGAAAGAACTAGAAAAGCTGACACAATATGAGGATTTAAAGATCGAACTGCAAAGACTCTGGCACAAGTCAGTAAAGGTGGTCCCAGCCGTGATCGGCACATTAGGTGCAGTGCCTAAAGACCTTGGGCTGCACTTAAACACAATTGGTGTGTTTGTAGGTGTGTCCTGTGAATATAACATGAAACCTCTGAATCACAATGGGTTAATCCCTTGTGCTGGCAGGACTGCTGACTGAAAGGTTGGCAGTTCAAATCTGGGGAGCGGGGTGAGCTCCTGTCTGTCAGCTCCAGCTTCCCATGCAGGAACATGAGAGAATCCTCCCACAGGATGGTAAAACATCCCCACAGACTTTCCCTAGGCAACATCCTCACAGACAGCCAATTCTCTCACACCAGAAGCAACTTGCAGTTTCTCAAGTCGCTCCTGACATGGGGAAAAAGCAATAAATCATATATTTTTTAAAAATACATGAAAGATTTTCACGAAAAATGTATATTACAAGTTATGCATGTGTTTTTACCTTCAATAAGGAGTTGGTTTTACCTCCCATTTCCTAGCAATCTAAATGACTGTGTTGTGAAATGCTTCGTGTCTAAAAAGTATGCCACAAGCATAACATTTGGAAAGCTCTGCTTTAGGATACATAGGTGAACTAATCAGTTAAACATATATATTTATATATGCAATTACATGATGTAACAGATTTTTTGTTCCTGGCTTATAAATGTCATTTCCTAATTGGTTCTATCATAAAAACATGGATAAGAGAACTTCCTGTATTAGACTCAGGTGGAAACTTGCCTTGTATCTATTTGCAGTGTTCTTACCTTTGTTCATATGCATCTTGCATTGCATGTCATCCTGCGTTTAATTAGTCTTATCAGTTTATACATCTGTTGGCAGTTATGCACCTTTTACCGCTGACCGTAATAAAGTTTTGATTGATTTTTGTTCCTGGATTATAAATGTCATTTCCTAATTGGTTCCGTTGTAAAAACATGGCCAAAGTTGATTAAACTGCAAAAACTTTGTTTTTGCAAGACATCCTGGAACACACTGTGCTCTAGTTTTTCAATGAATATCTCATTGCAACTCAACCAATTCAAGATAGTTTGTGGCAGCTACAAAAACAAAGTTTCTGGAGTTGAACAACTACTTTCAAAATAAGCACTGCGTAATTAAATAGGAAATAACACTTTTAAAACAGTAACAGTACTTTTTTCAAAATGTGTTAGTATTATCTATGTAGCTCTCTGGATGCATCTACACCTGTTTTTTTTTTGGGGGGGGGTTGTCGTGTCAGGACCAACCGCTCCTGTTGTGAGAGAACTGGCCGTCTGCAAGGATGTTGCCCAGGGGACGCCTGGATGATTTTTTGATGTTTTTATCATCCTTGTGGGAGGCTTCTCTCATGTCCCCGCATGAGAAGCTGGAGCTGATAGAGGGAGCTCATCCGCCTCTCCCCGGATTCGAACCTGCGACCTGTCGGTCTTCAGTCCTGTCGGCACGGGGCTTTAACCCACTGCGCCACCGGGGGCTCCAGCTACACCTGGTGGCACAGCGGGATAAACTGCTGAACTTGCTGACCAAAAGGTTGGCGGTTCAAATCCGGGGAGTGGGGAGAGCTTCCGCTGTTAGGACCAGCTTCTGCCAACCTAGCAGTTCAAACACATGAAAATGTGAGTAGTTCAATAGGTACTGCTTCGATGGGAAGGTAATGGCGCTTCATGCAGTCATGCTGGCCACATGACCTTGGAGATGTCTATGGACAAAGCCGGCTCTTTAGCTTAGAAATGGAGATGAACGCCATCATCCCCAGAGTCAGACATAACTAGACTTAATGTCAAGGGGAAAGCTTTACCTTTACCTTACACTTTAGAAAGAATGCATTTTGACCACACTTTCACTGCTAAGGATTTCTATTTTGGGAGTTGCAGTTCTACAAGGCCTTGAGCTTTCCCTGCTGCCCTCCCCCCCCAACGACAAACCCCAGGATCCCATACCAGGGAACCAAGGCAGGTTCATTCTATACAGTGAGGCACCGGTTCTCTATCGCCCGCTCTGCTTCTCCATGAAGCACTCAATGCTGCTAATGCTCAAACCTCCAACATTTTCCCTTTCACTGTTGCCACGTCATGCGTGATGTCATCCCCACAACAGAACGTTTGTTTCTCTTTCCTGAATCCGGGGAGAGAGGGAGAGGGAGGAGGGCGGGAGGGACAATGGAGGGGAACCCAGGCCCGGGGAGGGAGGGAGCCCCTCGGCCTGCTCCTTACCGGATCTCGCCCGCGGCCTCCGCTCTTCGTTCCCGGAGGCGGCCTCCCCGCCTCTCCTCCCGACCTGGGCGGGGATGGGAGCCTCCTCCGGCCGAGCTTCGCCCTGTTTCCGGCCCAGGCCCGATGGGGCTCGAGGAGGCAGGCAGGCGGGGCCACACCACTCGAATGGCTCCACGCTGTGGCATCCTGGGAGCCGCCGCTTGGCAAAGTCTTTAGCCTTCTCTTGAAGACTCAATTGGTTTCAATTGGTACCCTCCTTTCGTTCCCACCACCCTCACAAGAATGGCTGATGGGGACGAGAGAGAGGGCCTTCTCAGTGGTGGCCCCACGCCTCTGGAATGACCTTCCAGGGGAAATAAGACAGGACCCATCCCTCCCCTCTTTTCATAAGAGCTTGAAGACCTGGTGGTTTTAACAAGCCTTTGAGAACGACTAGTTGTAGCCCAGCCCTACGCATTGTTAGAATATGGCCTTGCACTTCCTACTTACTACCCCAGGCATTCCTCTAATCGAGCCATTACCACTCAAACAGGGAGCTTTGAGATGGTTGAACAGAAGCTCTCTGAAGCTCTAGGTGCGCTTACTGCCTATTACAGGGAAAACCAGCTGATCCCTAATCCATCTAAAACACAGACATGTGCTTTTCATCTCAAGAACAGACAAGCATCCCGAGCTCTGAGGACGTGGCTTGTTACTGCCCTGGGGTCTTTGTTGAGAGGTGATTAGCTGTCTCTGATTGTTTCTTGTCTGCAGTTCCCCTGCGTTTGAGTGTTGTTCTTTATTTACTGTTATAATTTTAGAGTTTTTAAAGTCTTTAGGAAGAGCTTGAAGACCTGGCTGTTCCAATGTGCCTTTCCAGAATAGGAACTCCAGCAATATGTCCCAGAAGCACTTTATCAGAGTTTTAAGATTGTCTGCACACTGCACTTACCCTAAATTCCGACATACCACCTGTCACACCCAACACTTTTTAATATGTACCCATCACACTTGGCCTAGCCCTAGTTTTATTGTGTCGTGGTGTATTGTTTTTATTGTTTACTGCTATTGTTTTGTTTGATTTGCTTTAAGTTATGTGTTTTGTTATGCTGTTGTTTTATTGAGGCCTTGGCCTGTGTAAGCCACATCGAGTCCTTTGGGAGATTTATTTATTAACAAATAAAGTTAATAATAATAATAATAATAATAATAATAATAATAATAACAACCTGGGAAGGAATCCCACTGGAGCATTGCATCACACCCAAATACCTGGGAGTCACTCTGGACCGTGCTCTGACCTACAAGAAGCACTGCCTGAACATCAAGCAAAAAGTGGGTGCTAGAAACAATATCATACGAAAGCTGACTGGCACAACCTGGGGATCACAACCAGACACAGTGAAGATATCTGCCCTTGCGCTATGCTACTCTGCTGCTGAGTATGCATGCCCAGTGTGGAACACATCTCACCACGCTAAAACAGTGGATGTGGCTCTTAATGAGACATGCCGCATTATCACGGGGTGTCTGCACCCTACACCACTGGAGAAATTACACTGTTTAGCCGGTATTGCACCACCTGACATCCGCCAGGAAGTAGCAGCCAATAGTGAAAGGACCAAGGCAGTGACATCTCCAGTTCATCTCTTGTTTGGGTATCAGCCAGCATGTCAATGACTTAAATCAAGAAATAGTTTTCTAAGATCTATAGAGACACTCGCTGGAACACCTCAGCAAGCGAGAGTCCAAAAGTGGCAGGCTCAAACCCAGAACCTCAATCAATGGCTGATACCAAATGAGAGACTCCCCCCTGGCCACACAGAAAACTGGGTGACTTGGAAGGCACTGGACAGACTGCGCTCTAGCACCACGAGATGCAGAGCCAACCTTCAGAAATGGGGCTACAAAGTGGAATCCACGACAAGCGAGTGTAGAGGAGAGCAAACTACAGACTATCTGCCATAATGCAACCTGAGCCCTGCTACATGCACAATGGAGGACCTTCTTGGAGCAACACCAGAGGCACTCCCAAGTGGCTAGCTACTGGTCAAAGGACATTTAATAGAATGCCAAGTTTGCAAACTTTGTGTTTTGCTTGTTTGTTAAAAATGCAATGCAGCTGTTTGGTCTACTCCTGACACGATAAATAAAACCCCCAGTCTTTCCTCTAATAGGCCCTGGAAATGAGCAGCCACAGACCCATATTGGCTATTGCTGTTCGCCAGTTATAGTACTTTATCCAACTCCCTGGCCCCTATATTTTGATTTTGCAGTAGCCTCGGCTTGGCCTTTTAAAATTGTCTTGACCCTTTTTCCTCGCCCTAACAAATAGGCACAAAGAACAGGCTGGATTATTTTTTTAATATATATGTGTGTTGTGACATTCTTTTGCTTATGTTTTGTTAATTTTATGCTTATGTCATCTACTCTGTATGTTTTGGTGTTGTTATTTGGAAACTTCCCTGAGTCCCCTTGGGGAGATAGAGTGGTATATAAATAAAGTATTATTATTATTATTATTATTATTATTATTATTTTCATTATTCTCTAGCAAAAGGTAGCCCTGCCTCACCAAACTACAGCTCCCGGGATTCCAGAGCAGTTCAAGTGGTGCAAAGCTGCATCTAATCTACAGTGCAGATCAGGCATGGGCCAACTTCGGGCCTCCAGGTGTTTTGGACTTCAACTCCCGCCATTCCTAACAGCCTACCGGCTGTTAGGAATGGTGGGAACTGAAGTCCAAAACACCTGGAGGCCCGAAGTTGGCCCATGCCAAGTCTAAACACTTTAGAACCTCTAGAACATGGCCCTATAGCCCGAAAAAACCTACAAGAACCTAGTGATTCCAGCCATGAAAGCCTTCGACAATACATCTAAACACTTTTCATGCAGCCAGAGTGGGTCAATGTATTTTCAAATCTCAGACCATACTGCCCTCTCCTGGTTCATTGAAGGAATGGTCCATAGACAAGAGGGGTGCGGCATTGAGCTATGCATTTCTCTTACAACAGAAGTGACTTGCAGTTTCTCAAGTCGCTCTTGACACGAAAAAAAGTATATTGTACTGTAAGTTTCTTTGTATTATCAAAGGCTTTCATGGCTGGAATCACTGGGTTGTTGTAGGTTTTTCGAGCTTTATGGCCCTGTTCCAGAAGCATTCTCTCCTGATGTTTTGCCCACATCTATGGCAGACATCCTCAGAGGTTGTGAGGTTTGTTGGAAACTAGGAAAATTGGGTTTATATATCTGTGGAAGGTCCAGGGTGGGAAAAAGAACTCTTGTCTGTTTGAGGCAAGTGTGATAGTTGCAATTGGCCACCTTGATTAGCATTTGATGGCATGACAGTTTTTAGATGTGGTTTGTTACTTCCCTGGGGAATCCTTTGTTGAGAGGTGATTAGCTGTCCCTGATTGTTTCTTGTCTGGAGTTCCCCTGTGTTTGAGTGTTGTTCTTTATTTGCTGTTATAATTTTAGAGGTTTTTTAAAATACTGGTTGCCAGATTTTGTTCATTTTCATGGTTTCTTCCCTTTTGTTGAAATTGGTCAGCCATAGGAGAAGTCAGCCATAGCAGAGCACTTGATGAACCAACCTGGACATAGCATATTATTTGAGAACACAGAAAGGCTGGACCACTCAAACAACTACCATATCAGGCTACACAGAGAAGCCACTGAAATCCAGTAATGGCATTTGCAAAAGAAGGGTGTGTGGTATGACATTTGGATTTTGTTTTTGGAACTCAGCACCCCAAAAATACAGTAGAAAACCACCAAATTTGAAAAAAGCCCCCCCCCCCCCCAGCGCAGTGCTATGAACCTAATAGAAACCTCTGCCTCGACTATGACTTGAAGTTGCAGCTGCTGAAGGGGAAAACTCAGACTCAGGGTGCATCTATGGCCCCTTCCACACAGCTGAATAAAATCCCACATTTTCTGCTTTGAACTGAAATATATCAGTGTGGACTCTGATCACTCAGTTCAAAGCAGATATTGTGGGATTTTCTGCCTTGATATTCAGGGATATAGGGCTGTGTGGAAGGGCCCTCAGATATCCCTTCCAAATGCTATATCAGATATCCCTCAGATATTGTGGGATTTTCTGCCTTGATATTCTGGATTACATGGCTGTGTGGAAGGGCCCTACACTGCAGAATTGAGGCAGTTTGACACTACTTTAACTGCCATGGCTTAATGCTATAGAATTAGGGGAGTTGTAGTTTGGGGGAGGAATCTGTACAAGGACCAAGTAGCAACAGTAAGAACTGACCACGGAACAACAGACTGGTTCAAGATTGGGAAAGGCGTACGGCAAGGCTGCATACTCTCACCCAACCTTTTTAACTTGTATGCAGGACACATCATGCGATGTGCGGGGCTTGATGAATCCAAGGCTGGAGTTAAAATTGCTGGAAGAAACATTAACAATCTTAGATATGCAGATGATACCACTTTGATGGCCGAAAGCAAGGAGGAGCTGAGGAGCCTTCTAATCAAAGTGAAAGAAGAAAGCGCAAAAGCTGGGTTGCTAAACATAAAAAAAACCAAGATTATGGCAACAAGAATGACTGACAACTGGGAAATAGAGGGAGAAAATGTGGAGGCCGTGACACTCCTTGGCAGTGCTTGAGCGAGGCGGCCCTGACGTCGCCCTATCCACTTCCGTCCACGTGCTCCTCCTTGCTGGCGGAAGTGAGGGCAGGATGCGTCAAGGCGGAAGTGAAGGTGAAGCTGGGAGAGCAGCAGTGGCCGCAGATGTCTCCTCTCTTGTGAGCGGGGCGGGGAAGAGGCCGGCGGAATGGAGGCGGTAAGTGAAAGGCAGGCAGGCCGGGCGTTTCTTTGGCTACTCTGGTTTCTCCTTCCAGCGGATTTCCCTTTGCAGCGATGATCTCCTTGTTTATGGAGAGATTGGAGAGTGCATTCAGGGCGCAGCCATAGAACTCTTCTGGGTAACCTCCGTGCACTGCTTCAGGCTCTACCAAATGCGCCCAGGGATGCTTTAGGTCGTGCATATCAGTCCTCCAGTATCAATTGTTTGCCAATTTCAGTCCACTCATTAAGTGGATACCAGACCTATAATTGGCGAGATCAATTAATACCAACATACTAATGCTACAGGATATCTGTATCATTGCACACACTTCTGTAGAGATTTAGAGCCTGGGGACCCTTCTACATATCCCAGAATAAAGGCAGAAAATTCCACATTATCTGAGTGTGGACTCAGATAACCCAGCTCAAAGAAGATATTGTGGGATTTTCTGTCTGACATTCTGGGATATAGGGCTGTGTGGAAAGGCTCTGGATCACAATTTGCATTCCCCCCCCCCCCCAGTTGATTATCCACATATTAACAGCGCTCCATGTGGTCATGCTGGCTACATGACCTTGGAGGTGTCTATGGACAACGCTGGCTCTTCAGCTTAGAAATGGAGATGAGCACCACACCCCAGAGTCAGACATGACTAGACTTAATGTCAGGGGACAACCTTTACCTTTTACCTATGAGTGCACATCTACATTGTAGGATGAATGCAGTTTGACATTGTTTTAACTACCACGGCCCAATGTTGTGGGATCAGCACTTTGGTGAGACACCAGTTAACTTTGGAAGGGAAGGCTAAAGATTTTGTGAAACTAGGGGCCCTTCTATACAGCCATATATTCCAGAATATCAAGGCAGAAAATCCCTGCTTTGAACTGGGTTATCCAAGTTCACACTGCCACATATTCCAGTTCAAAGCAGATAATGTGTGGATTTATTTATTTGTATGGAAGGGGCCTACAACTCCCATATAGAGTTCTTTTTTTTTGTATTGTATGGGTAGAATCATGGCATTTGAATGAGGGGCCTCTTGGCTCATGCTCTGCATTGGAGCCATGCCTCTTGTATCTCTTCTCCCAATCCAACCTGAGGCAGGTCGCTCTGTCATTTGACACTGCTTTGCTGTGTGCCAATATCAGGTATAACTTCAGCCTATCTTTTACAAGTGAGCAATTATCGCCCAGAGAAAGGGGCAGCCTCCTTTGTAAAGCTGTCCTCCAAAGCAAAAACAGTTACATCTCCCTCTACACTTGTCCTAGCACATCTTTCTAATAGATATGCAAATAATAATAATAATTAATAATATTTATATACTGCTTTTTTCTCTAGAAGAGACTCAAAGCATTTCTTAGGGGTTAAAAAGATACAACATACCTTTTAAAACCAAAATATTATAGACAATAAAATATAATTAAACCCTATACTATTTTAAATGAATAATTAAATATAGACAGTCCCCGAGTTACAAACATCTGATCTACAAACAACTCTGTTAAGAACGGGGGTGAGATAACAGGAAGTGAGAGAAATTACCCCTAGGAAGGGAAATCTACTTCTGAAAGAGTTATCATGGGGAAAAGGGGTCTCCATGGAAGCTGTATCACCAATCCTTGTTTCCATAACAAGTTTTTTTTCCCAAAATCCAATAATAATGGGGATATAAAGTGAGGTGAAATCTGAGCAGGTGCACAGACAGCAAAATAAACACCAGAGGGGTGTTAACGCTTTCTTATGCTATCCAAAGCAGAAAATATATACAAATTCAACTTAAGAACAAGCCTACAGAACCTATCTTGTTTGTATTTATTATTTGATTTATTTATTTAAAACATTTATATTCCACTCTTCTCACCCCAAAGCGGACTCAGGGAGGACAACATATACATGGCAAGGATTCCATGCCGGAACATAAAATAGCTAAAAATATGCACAAACACTAAAATCAGATTATATCTACTTTGAAATCAATTGTTTAAAACCATCTCAAAACACCATGCTGTAACTTGGGGCCTACCTGTATGCGAAATACCACACCATCCCCTTACATGATTTCAAAAACTTTTAAAAAAGTAAATAGCACTGAGTGTTGTACCAAAGCAATTTTACCTTCTGTGCCAAGATTCTTCCAAATGCCAGATCTATAATTTATTTGTATTGTTTAATTTTAAAAAATGTGGTATGCCTGGGCCTCTCTTGTATAAAACCAAAGGTCAGATAAGAGAAAATCTTCCAAACTCTCTGCTTTAAAGGGTGCCTTTAGAAAAGCCCTACCCTAGTGTTGCTGGACCACATTACTACAGAAATATATGACTAAGGGAACACCCTCTCTTCACTCCTTCATTTGTTACTTGGCTCCTTCAGTGTGAGTAAGAACACAAGGAAGTCTGGGCTCTTCTTCAGTATTACTTTTCAGAAAGATTTCTTTTGTGCAAACAAAGCAGCAATACAAAGAATGGGGGCTAGTTTAGAATTGTAGAGTTGAAAGAGACCCCAAGAGCCATCTAGTCAAACCCCATTCTGCCATGAAGGAACACACAATCAAAGCCCTTCCGACAGGTGGCCACCCAGTCTCTGCTTAAAAACTTCCAGAGAAGGTGACTGTACCACACTCCAAGGAAGCAGCAAATTCCACCACTTAAACAGCTCTTACCATCAGGAAGTCTTCCTAATCTTTAGGTGGAATCTTTTTCGTGCAATTTGAATCCATTCTTCCATGTCCTTGTCTCCAGAGTAGCAGAAAACAAACTTGCCCCTTCCTTGATGTGACATCTTTTCAGGTATTTAAACATGCCCCCCTCTTTGTGCATTTAAACAACACACTTTAGGAATGCTTGAGGAGTGCTCTTTGTGTATTCCAGAGCCCTTGAACATCTACTGTGGAATCTCCTGCATTGCAGAAGATTCAAGGACAGTCCCAGACTATGTAAGGCATTGGGTCTTATTGCTACCTGGTGAGAAGGACATCATTGTACATGTCCCAGAATACATACAAGAGCAATTAGCTAGTGGGTAGGTAAGATATCTTCCAGGGAAGCTTGTCCAACATTGCCAATCTTTTCCTTGAAGATTTATTTATTTCGAATATTTATATCCCATCTCGAAACACAACAAGAAAGCCATTTTTCTCATACTCGCAGAGGTGAACTGAAATTAAGGACCATTCATTTGGTCACTGTAATAGACCTGCGGCCTTCTCACCAAAGACCAGATTCTGCTATTAAATCATTTATCACAGGTTGGAAGGGAAACAAGAGTGTTTACCCCTATGTGACTCAATACAGAATTGTAGGTTTCCTCTCCTCACACATGCCTTGTCTGGAGTGATGAAGCTTGTCCATCATTTTCTACTCCTGTTCCTCTCCACTCCTTCTCCCTAGTGTATTTTAAAGCTTTGGTCTTTGTGGCTATCTTAACAAAGAAGCTATTTGTGTGTTTGTCAGCAACCACCATGACAGCAGTTGCTGCTACTACAAAAATTGTTCCAGCTTCTAAGGACTGCGTGGCTTGGTGAGGTGCAATGTGATGTACAACAGTTTTCTTTGGAAGTAATTCCTCCCCATTCCCTTGTTCTGGTTGGTGGATAAAGCTTTCTAAAATTCAGATAGCTTTGCATTTGAGGATCTGCCATTCAAGACCTCTTTTATGTAACTCTGTGCCTCTGCTATTTATTGCTTCGGAGTAGAAGCTGTTGCTTTCTGAGCCTGTGACCTTCTCCTTTCTAATCCCCATTCTTATTAATATCCCCTATGAATGCCAGTGTAGTAAGAATGACTGCTAGCCTGTCCTGAACATGACCAGGCAGCAAATGCAGGAATTATACACCATTGCAGGCAACAAATCAAGAACTGGACATGGGTGTGTGGAAGGATCGTGGAGCTTTAGTTGTATTGAAGTAAAAAGACATGGCCCTTCTTGGACTACAGCTTCCATTGGACTTGGACTACAGCTTCCATTGGCAGACTACTGCCATGTTGCCCTATAGCAGTGGTCCTCAATGTATGGGTCGCTAGGTGTTTTGGCCTACAACTCCCAGAAATCCCAGCCAGTTTACTAGCTGTAAGTATGTCTGGGAGTTGAAGGCCAAAACATCTGGGGACCCACAGGTTGAGAACCACTGCCATATAATAAAAAGAATGTGTTTATCAGAACTGCTCAAATTATATGAGATTGCATGCCTGCTTACAGTGTTTGATGTTAGTGAATATTAGAACTAATTGGGCAGAAGATATATGTGGCATGGAAAGAAATGTGGTCTTTTTAATAGAAGGTGAGTTTGTGGTATCTGTTCTGGAAATTTTCAAGGGCTCCTAGATGGCTTCATTTCCAGCTAATGGAGTCTATTTAGGGACCCTGCTCTTCTGGTTCCACTGCATATTTATTGGTGACATTGCCACTGCTGTCCTTGTTGGTATGAGATAGCCAAATCTTTTCTGGTGCTTAGCTGAAACAAGGATATTTGCTTAGAGTTTAGTTGAAATCCTCCAGTGCTTAGGTTAGCCTTTCTCAGGCACCCTCTTTATTGCAGTCCCGAGTCCCTTTCTGTCAAGATTTCCATCCCGCTTGAAAACCCCAACAGCTGGGTTTTGTTTTGGTCTTGCAAGAATGCAGACTATTGTAGGAATGCTATGCAGTTTTCGTGGGAGAGGGGATAGGGGCCAACAAAGGTGCAATTCCATCCTTCCAGCTGCTGGGAAGCACTGTTGTCAGCATTTCCCTGTGTTGGACTCCCGGCCCTTGTTATAAGGAGATAGTCCTGCTGAATTGAGGTTCCTGCTTTGTTAGTGAGGAGTCAGCCAAAAGTCTTGTCCTGGCTTAGCTGTTTTGGTCCATGCTGGAGATATATCCCAGACTCAAGGGAGAGCCCTCTGTCTCTGATGGGCACGCATGATCTGTAGCCCTGTCTACTGAGTGTCATGCTGTTTCTCCAAAACCTTTTGACATCTGTGTACATCTGAATTTTCTCTATCTTTTAATAACAATCCAGTGAATAAGCTTAGGCCAAGCTAGGTTTATTTTAGCTTCACACTACTTGCTACAGAGTCCTGGGAAGAATAATAATTTGGTGAGATACTTAAGAATTCCCACAGAAAAGAGTTCCAATGCTGTAGGTCAAGAAAATGGACTAGATTTCTGTCTTGCAGTGCATTTTTAAGACACAGGTCTGCAGTTTGGGGGTCCTCCTGGACTTGGCATTGAACCTTGAGGCCAAGGTGGTGGTGGTGTTCGGGAGAGCCTAGGCACAATTAAAACTTGTGTGCAAACTGCACCCATTCCTTGAGAAGCCAGATCTAGTCACAGTGGTCCATGTCTTAGTTACATCCTGTCTGGATTACTGTAACGTGCTCTATGTGGGGCTGCCTCTGAAGAGTGCTTGGAAACATTAGCTGGTCCAAAGAGCTTTGTTTCCAGGTACAATTTAAAGTGCTGGAAGACCTGAAGACTTCAAATAAACTGCATGTACAAGAAGGGGCGGGTGGGAGTGGAGAAAAACAATAAAACATCAATAAAAAAGGTCCAGGCTATTTGGCTGACTACGTCTCCTTGTACGAACCTATCCGGGCCTTGAAATTTTCAGGAGAGGCCCTTCTCTTGATCCCGCCTACATCTCAAGCTTGTTTGGTGGGAACGAGGGGGGGGGGGGCTTCTCTCCCAGTGGCTGCTGCCCCTTGACTCTGGAACTCCCTTCTTCCCAGGAAAGCCAGAATGGCCCCCTTCCTGCTGTCCTTCTGCCGGCAGGCTAAAACCTTTTTATTCAGGCAGACTTATAAAGATGAAAATGTTTAAGATCTTGTCAGGGGCTGCTGTCGTTTCATATGTTTTTATGGATTTAATCTGAATTGTTTTTAATACTAATACTAATTAATACTGTTTTAAAATTTGTATATGTGTATATTTTAAGTTGCACTGCAATGCTTTTAATGTTAGCTGCTTTGAGTCTCCTTATGGAGATAAAAAGTGGGATAGAAATAAACATATTAATAGTAATAATAACAACAAACTAAGACCAGAGAAAATGTCACCCCCCTTTTTGGTACTTCACCTTCATATCCTTTCCCTGCTTCAGACCATAAAGTATTCCACAGAGTAACTTATCCAAGTTAACTTTTGCATATAACTAGATAGGTGTTAACGCTTGACCACGATGCAAGGAGCAACTTCATATGCTCTGATTTGCAGCATAGGGAGCTGCTCTCTGTGTGCAACTTAGCCCTTCTGCATAAGTTGTCAGAGGAAGTGTTTACTGTGAGGGGACATCTCCTGAATCTTCTCCTTTCTTTTATGCCTTGCAGGATACCATTGCTGAGAGTGGGTTGGAGAAAAGCCTGTCTTTGTCAGAAGGTGAGTGGCATACCTTAGCTCTTCTAGACATATCAGCCCCTGTCACCCCATATGCTGGAGATGAATAGGACCTGTAATTCAGAATTTCCAGATGCTACCAGAATGGAAAAGATTGTTCAGTGGGGCACTTACTAGAGCAGTGGTCCTCAACCTTTGGTCCTCCAGGAATTTTGGACTTCAGCTCCCACAGTTCCTAATAGCTGGTAAGCTGGCTGGGGCTTCTGGGAGGTGAAGTCTAAAACACCTGGATGGCCAATGGTTGGAAACCTCTGTATTAGCAGATTGTCTGTATATGTGTGGTTTGTTGTTGTTATTGGGTGTCCTCAAGTCATTTCTGATTCATGGCAACCCTAAAATGACCTTATCGCAGGGTTTTCTGAATATGAGAGTGTGACTCACCCAAGGTCACCTAGTGGGTTTTCATGGCCATGTGAGGAATCAAATCCTGTTCAGACCACTACACCACACTGGCTGTCATGGGTGTGGTAATGTTGTAAAAAATATCGTCTGAGGACTTTAGTCTAGTTTATAGTCTATGAGTGTCTTTACAAGCTATGTCTGAGGATTTAGGATATGATTATATTATAGTGATTTCTGCAGCCTGAACCAGTAGATTTTACATCAGCCTTCGCTTCTAGATTTTATTCTTCAGATATTTTAGGACTTTAATTCTTTAATTCAATGCTGGGATTTGCAGTCTAAAATATCTGCAGTCTGTTAGGTTAAGAAATGCTGCCCCCGGTCAGAGCACAGACACTGAAATCCTCAGATGACTTGCTCATGTGAGGCCAGCTGTGTCCACAGAAAACCACAGCATATATAATAGAAGAAAATCAGTGCAGCAGCTGCACATGGATTTTAATGGAAGCTGTTTTTCTGGATGTGAGAGTAATATGCTGAACCAATCTGTTTTTGAGGTGCTATAGCCAAGGCAGGGCACTCTGGCATCAAAATACAGCATTGCATGATCTCTTTGCTTTGGCAGTTTAGATATTTTCAAAACCATCAAGTACACAGCTCTGCAACTTATATGATGTCTGATATGTTGTAAGATCCTTGGGACAGCACTCTTCCTTCTCTTCTCACTAATATTATTCTGCAGAGTATCCTAAGGAATGATGGTGCCTGATAAGCAATAAAACTGGAATAATTGGAAATACCACAGAGCTTTACCTGTTGATCACCTGACTAGTGGGAGCTCTGTCTTGAAAACTTCAATTTTCTCGCCAAAAGCCACTGTTTCTTAAAAATCCTAATGTACTTAATCATAGTTCCCTCAAATTTCCTGCCCACAGCAGATGGTGATTCCAGCAATGGTGTCTACACATCCTTCATGAAGTCCCATCGCTGCTATGACCTCATCCCAACAAGCTCGAAACTCGTGGTGTTTGACACTTCCCTTCAGGTGAGTAGCAAGCTGTTATTAGAACACGGAGAACAAGCAGCCTCAACCAGGCCGGAGTCCTGAGGTAGTTCTTATCCCTCTAAACCAGTGGTTCTCAACCTGTGGGTCCCCAGTTGTTTTGGCCTACAACTCCCAGAAATCCCAGCCAGTTTACCAGCTGTTAGGATTCCTAGGAGTTGTAGGCCAAAACATCTGGGGACCCACAGGTTGAGAACCACTGCTCTAAAGAGTAAGAAAGCTGCCCCAGACCACATGAAGTTATTCATTATATCTGAGGAAACACTCGCTGGCAGTAAAATATAAATATGAAGAAAATATCAATTGCAAGACTGGGTTGGATTGGGTCTTGCATATGTGTGCTTCTTTCAGGTTGTCATAAAGTCCCAGCAGCCTGAGGACAAAGTTGTTAGTGCAAGCCATGTTGTTGTTGATGCTGCTATTGCTGTAGTTATGTGCCTTCAAGTTGTTTCGAACTTATGGTGACCCTAAGATGAATCTATCATAGGGTTTTCTGAAGCTTATAATGTGTGACTTACCCAGGGTCACCAGTGGATTTGCATGGCCAAGCAGGGATGTTGTTCTCTGAGTTGTCGTTCAACATTCAAACCAATTTAGATGGCAATTTTGAGGAAAAAAAAGTTATGAGAGGAAATGGTAATTTGAGGCAGTATGAAATGGTTAAGAATGGCTCTTTTCATATGGGCAGCAATGTATTAAGGCAACATAGTACTGTAAACATGTACTAAGTGAGATGTTTCGCTTACATAAGATTTTCACTTATTGTGTTATCTTAGCTATGTAAAAAGAAGTAAACATACAAGATCCTTTGGTTCACAAATGAAAAATAGCAAAGAAGAAAAGCAAAACATTGGAGGGTAAAAGTGATGCAGTGTTATTGCTGCTAAACTTTATAAAGTTAAGTGTTTTAATATTCCAGTGTCAAGTAAAAAAAAGGCTCAGATGTTAGAAACAAAGATTAAGAAGATCCAGATTTAGTCATAAATAGAAGAGAATAAATAGAAGAGACGTTTATGTTCTTGTCCCTTTCATTAACTTTTTTCTCAGTAAGAAGAAGAGCACATTGGGCATAAGTTGAATGGGAGCCACTGTGCTGGTGCTGCATCGCAGTTGTACTGAAGTACTGTCTTTTGTCCCTTTGTTCTGCTTGTAGGTAAAGAAAGCCTTCTTTGCTTTGGTGACCAATGGCGTGCGGGCTGCCCCACTTTGGGACAGCAAAACACAAAGCTTTGTGGGTAAGTAGCTTTTACTGGGTCCATCCGTAAGCAACGCAGACTACAAATTAATGGCTGAGCTTATGAAGATTCTCTAATTACAACAACATCCCACCAAAATTTTAGGTTTTACATAGGCAATAAAACTCTACACAGTCTGGGGCTCATCCTGGGGGCCTCGTAAACCAGATTAAGGCAGAGGTAGGAGCCCCCGGTGGCTTAGTGGGTTAAAGCACTGAGCTGCTCAGCTTGTTGATCGAAAGGTCGCAGGTTCGATTCCGGGGAGCGGCGTGAGCTTCCGCTGTGAGCCCTAGCTTCTGCCAACCTAGCAGTTCGAAAACATGCAAATGTGAGTAGATCAATAGGTACCGCTCCGGCGGGAAGGTAACGGCGCTCCATGCAGTCATACCGGCCACATGACCTTGGAGGTGTCTACAGACAACGCTGGCTCTTCGGCTTAGAAATGGAGATGAGCACCACACCCCAGAGTCAGACATGACTGGACTTAATGTCAGGGGACTACCTTTACCTTTACTTTAGGCAACTGTATGGAGGCAACCTCCACTTTACAAAGTTTCCCTTCCATTTTCCCTTAAAAATTGTGATCATAAGTAACGTCATTTCTTGTCACAATTTTGAAGATGAAACAAGAGGAAAGAAGTTGCTTGATGAGTTTGGGAGCTCTGAAGGAGCTTAGAAGAAATAGGTTTTGTGTGTTTGCATGAGTATGAGGAGGGTTGTGTGTAGTTTTGGTGTGTTTTTCATCTCAAAATTGTATAATTAAACAAATTATTTGAAGTCTTCAGGGACTGAACAAAATGTGGTCCATGGGCTGCCTGCTGCTAATGGACCACACTTTTCCCATCCTGGCTTTTCCTAATATGGCCTTCTGCTTCCTATCCTTTTCTTCCTTTCTCCTCTCACACTTTCCCAAATTGCCTGTTGGCAGGAGTAAATCCCTTTCCACTTCTTCTTTCCTCCATAGGAATGCTCACAATCACAGACTTCATCAACATCTTGCATCGCTACTACAAATCAGCCATGGTGAGTACATTTAGAGTATTGTTTACCCCTCCTTCTTATGTCAAAGGAGCCTGTAGCCTGATTTCCCCTGGAACAGAGCTCAGAAAAAGCACTTTTTTGACTGTAACTCACAGAAGACTGGTTCAAGACTGAAAAAGGGATAGGGCAGGGCTGAATCCTCTCACCCTACCTATTCAGCTTGTATGCAGAACAACATCATGTGATGTGTGGGGCTTGATGAATCCAAGCTTGGAGTTAAAATTGCTGGAAGAAACATTAACAACTAGGTTCTTGTGGGTTTTTTCGGGCTATAGAGCCATGTTCTAGAGGCATTTCTCCTGACGTTTCGCCCGCATCTATGGCAAGCATCCTCAGAGGTGTGAGGTCACACCTCTGAGGATGCTTGCCATAGATGCAGGCGAAACGTCAGGAGAAATGCCTCTAGAACATGGCTCTATAGCCCGAAAAAACCCACAAGAACCTAGTGATTCCAGCCATGAAAGCCTTCGACAATACATTGAACATTAACAACCTTAGATATGCAAATGATGCCACTTTGATGGCTGAAAGTGAGGAGGAGCTGAGGAACCTTCTAACCAAAGGGAAAGAAGGAAGTGCAAAAGCTGGGTTGCAGTTAAAAATAAAAAAAACAAGATGATGGCAACCAATTATCAATCCGATAACTGGCAATTGAGGGAGAAAACATGGAGGCAGTGACAGACTTTGTATTTCTAGGTGCAAAGATTGCTGCAGATGCAGACTGCAGCCAGGAAATCAGGAGACGCTTACTTCTTGGGAAGAGAGCAATGACCAATCTCGATAGAATCGTGAAGAGTAGAGACATCACACTGGCAACGAAGATCTGCATAGTTAAAGCAATTATATTCCCCTTAGTAACCTAGGGATATGAGAGCTGGACCATAAGGAAGGATGAATGAAGGAAGATATATAGATGATTTTGAACTGTGATGTTGAAGGAAAATTCTGAGAGTGCTTTGGACCGTGAGAAGATCCAACCAGTCCATACTCCAGGAAATGAAGCCCAACTGCTCATTGGAGGGAAGGATAGTAGGGGCAAAGATGAGGTACTTCGGCCACATCATGAGAAGACAGGAAAGCTTGGAGAAGACAATGATGCTGGGGAAAATGGAAGGAAAAAGAAAGAGGAGCAGACCAAGGGCAGGATGGATGGATGGCATCCTTGAAGTGACTGGCTTGACCTTGAAGGAGTTGGGGATGGCCACAGCCAACAGGGATCTCTGGCGTGGGCTGGTCCATGAGGTCACAAAGAGCTGGAAGCGACTGAACAAACAAACAACAACTCAGAAGGCTGCAGTCAGTATGGTCATTTGATCACTCTAGCTGTAGTTTTTTTTTTGGGGGGGGGGAATTCTGTGTAGTCTCTGGGATAGAATAAAATCTTGAATGCAGATTTATCAGTTGCTGTTGATTCCTGATCCTTTGCGTTGTCTTAAGAGCAAGTTAATCATGAAATGCCTGTATTAGTTTATTGAATAACTTTCTGTCCTGCGCCTTGAACAGAAGGGTCTTACAGGAAAGAAATTATACACAATAGGGACAAGAATAACATAATTAAAATACAAAGTGAATTTTAATGAGCTATAATAATGTGTCCTTTAAAAATAGTCTGTGAATGAAATAGCTTGGTTTGGATGAGCACTCTGCTAGGTAGATCAAGCTGGACACAAACCAGTAATTGAGAGGAACTGGGATAATTTTTTGCTTCCCCTGTTTTATTGAAATTCACTTTGTCTTCTTAACACGGAACCACCGGCTACTGGATCATGACCCTGATATATCAAATACCTAGGTAATGGAATCCCGTTAAGACTACTAAGGGTTATCTACAGTCCACATTGCCATAGGCAGAAGTAGACAAAAGAAAATACAAATTTCCCTAGGTTGATGACGTGTTGTTTTCTGCATGTTCAGGTGCAGATCTATGAGCTGGAGGAACACAAGATTGAAACATGGCGAGGTAAGGAGGAGGTGGATATTGGGGCAAAGATAACATGGCAGCAGTTGGCCCATGGCTAGTGTTGAACTGTGATGCTTTTCAGCTTTTACTGTCATAGCCAATGATGAGGGACTAGGGAAATTGCAGTCCAATGATGTCTGGAGGGCCCTGTGTTCTTCTTCTCTAGAATACGAGATGCTTCTGGTGATGCAAGAGTGAAAGGAAGTGGTGGGTGGTTGAGATGGTGAGCAAGTAAAAAAGTAGGCAAACCCTTCTTCTTCCTTGTTTCCGACCACACGTCCTTCCAATGTCCCATGGTGAATGGGAGAAGTTGCAAGTTCCCCCATTCTCCACAAGCATGATAATTGTCTTGCTCCTCTTTCCTATTTGGACGTGTCTGAGTTACTAGTTCTGTTCTATCTCCACAGAGGTCTACCTGCAGGATTCTTTCAAGCCACTTGTCTGCATTTCACCCAGTGCCAGGTAGGAATGAATGCCCACCAGTGTGGTCTATGTGCTAATCTGCCATGTTGCTGAGTTGCTATTTCTTGACAGTGTCCCCAGTTGTTTACCCTTGATAAAGTTCAGTGAGTTCTTCATTCTTTTGTACCCTGATGCTCATCCACTAGTCTATACTGACAGGATTTTTTTAAAAAAAAAACCCTGATGCCTTTGAGCTGCTTTGGTTAAAGGTAAAGGTAAAGATTTCCCCTTTACATTAGGTCTAGTCATGTCCGACTCTGAAGGGGTGGTGCTCATCTCCATTTGTAAGCCGAAGAGCCAGCATTGTTCGTAGACACCTCCAAGGCCCTGTGGCTGGCATGACTGCATGTAGAGCCTTTACCATCTCACTAGTGTGGTATCTGTTGACCTACTCACATTTACATGTTTTTGAACTGCTAGGTTGGCAGAAGCTGGGGCTAACAGCAGAAACTCATCCCACTCCCTGGATTTGAACCGCTGACCTTTTGGTCAGCAAGTTCAGCAGCTCAGTGGTTTAACCCGCTGTGCCTCCAGGGGGTGCTTTGGTTAGGAATCCAGATTTGCACAATCTCATAAAAATAGCATTCAAGCACAGAAGACCACGCAGTCAAGCCTGTGCACTTTGTGTACATCCATATGAATTCTGGAGTCTTGCAACATGAGAAAATTTGCTTTCCTTCCATAAACCAAGTGTTTAGAGCAATTAGTTGTAGAGAAGGGTTATATAAATGAGAGCGCAATTTCTCAAGAAGATAGGCCAGTGTTGCACGTAGTTCTTTGCTTGATTGTATGTTTACCTTTTAGCCCAGTAATGTTTTACTGTCATTCCTTTCCTTGTCTCAAAATTCTTTGAAAGCATGAAGAATTTATCCTTAAGAGTCCAGAATAAATCAACAATTAATATTAATTGTTCTGCAGTTATTATGAGTATACTATTTTATTATCAGTGGATAATTATTATTGGTTTACAATTATTATTAGAACTCCTCTCACAAGATTCCTAACAGAGAGAGATTACTGTTACCTGTTCTTCACAAATGGGGAACTGACGCTGAGAAACGTAACTAGCCTAACAACAACAACAATCTTTATTTATAGACCACCTTATCTCCTTGAAGGGACTCAGGGCGGATTCCAACAAATATGGCAAACATTCAATGCCCAAAGCAAAACCATGCAAACAGTTTACATCAGGACAAAACACATTACACAATAGAAAACAACATAACTATAACTTAATAATCAAAATAGCGAAAAATAAAAATAGGAAATAAAATAAAAATAAAGTAAAAAATACAAAAAACCCCTGATAAAACACACTAAAAATAAAATATAAAACCATCTCTTATGGCAGAGATAGACAAATGGTGACCTGTAGGCTACATCGAATGTTTGAAGCTATTTAAATTACTCTTGCTAGACATTCCAAATTTCAGTCACAATGTGATTGATTCATCTTAAATAACAGAGAAACGGGGGTGGGGGGAAATCTCATATAACAAAAGCAAGCCGCATTGTTATGTAACGTGCCTCTTTTGGATTTTGTAGGTAAAACCACAGCTGTGTGTTTAGTACACACCTTCCCTAATTGTGACGATCTTACTGCACCAGTTTGTTATAGACTCCTGAAATCTGTAGAGTTATAAAATTAAAAGCAACACATACACGTACACATATACAGACATATAGACAGACAGATTTTTGGTACCACTTGCCTAAAAACCAGAGTACACTTGAGAACACTGACTGTGCCCTTGGGAACATAGCTCTACCTGGTGTGTGTGTGTGCACCATCTCCCTCCTTTTCTGTCTGCCTTATTGTGTGTGTGTGTGGAGCGGGGGGGCTTCATGTATTAAAATAGAAATCCTTGCTCACTGCCACATGAAATAATCTCTTCCCAGCTGTGCAAATTGATCCGAGAGACCTAGACACACCTTTTCTCTTATTCCATGAACTGGTTTTGGCACATTCGTTATGGAGCTACAAAGAGAAGCCTGGCATCTGAGTGTCCTTGTTGTTCCTCTGTTTTGATGTGCTCCCTTTCTCTTCTTGTGATTTTCAGCCTGTATGATGCTGTCACGTCTTTGATCCGGAACAAGATACATCGGCTTCCTGTCATTGATCAAGATTCAGGGAACACTCTGTACATCCTGACGCACAAGCGCATCCTGAAGTTCCTCAAACTCTTTGTGAGTGTCCCCACTGCACCAGTCCATCCCTGTTTAGCCTGGCCAAGAGCTTCATCCCCAGTCTCTCTGCCCTGAATGGTTTAATGTAGCTGTGAGATGCCAATGTGTTCCCCTTACCACAGAACCCTAAATGGTTTTAAGAAACCCCCTCCTGTTTTCCTACAGATTGCAGAGTTTCCTAAGCCGGAGTTTACATCCAAAACCCTAGAGGAGTTGAAGATCGGCACCTATGAAAACATTGCCATGGTCCAGACTGATACTCCTATCTATGTTGCGCTGGGCATTTTCGTACAGCACCGAGTCTCTGCGTTGCCTGTGGTGGATGAGTCAGGTGAGTCTTATGGAGATAAAGAGCACAGAGGCAACTCTTGTGGCTCTTTGTCCAGTCCCTAGGCACCCCTGTGGTCACCAGCACGGATGACAAAAAATTGTCCCCAAATAGAGAATCATATAGAAGCCTTCTGAAATTGAGGCCTCTGCATGATGCTTCATTTGGGAATTAATTGGTCCCCAAATGGACATCTTATTTAAACTTGAAATAGAAAATTTATAAAACTGGAAATGACCTTCCAATTTTGCGAAACTGAGCAGATGTGGGCTAAAAGGGTCTATGAGCTTTAAAGGCAATTTTAATGTACCGTATGTACTTGAGTATACGTCCAGTTTTTCAGCCCTTTTATAGGCTGAAAAAGCCCCCTTCAACTTATACTCAAGTTAAAGTTATTTATTATTTTACTCTGTTATTATTATTTTTATTACATTTATTATTTTACTCTATTATTATTACATTTATTATTTTACTCTTTTATTACTGTTATTATTACATTTCCATTATTTTGCTCTATTATTATTTTTATTACATTTATTATTTTACTCTTATTATTGGAAGGATACATAAGTACATTTACACTGAAGAAGGTCAGAATAATGGTTTAATCAGAGTTGGACAGTCTTATCTTAAATTACAGTTCTATGTAAACATTCGAAAACATTTAACCTACTGATGCCTAAATGTAATTTTTTGCTATCTATTTTTATTTTAAAATTTACCAGTAGCTGCTGTATTTCCCACTCTCAGCTTATAATCGAATCAATACATTTTCCCAGTTTTTTGTGGCAAAATTAGGTGCCTTGAATTATATTTGGGTTGGCTTATACTGAAGTACAGTATATAAGGTATTTACTGTTTTAATTCTGTTTTTACCACACTGTTATTATTTAATTGTTTTTTTTAACATTTGTATTGCTCTTTTAAAATTGTTTAGTGTAGATAGAGGTTAGCCACCCTGAGTCCCCATGGGGAGAAGGTGGGATATAAATAATAATAATAATAATAATAATAATAATAATAATAATAATATGCAGTGGGAAAAATAGGGCAAGTGCAGCCCCCACAACCTTTTGTCCACCCCTCCTGTAAGGGAAGTAAATCAAATGCAGGAATGCCTCAAATCCAGTTAGATTTGAGGCACCATTTGTTTGTCAGTGGGACATGCTGCAGGCCAAGGATGAGAAAAAAATATATTTGGATCTACTAGTAGTCCTCATGGGGATTTAAAACAGATCAGCAAGAATGTTATTTTTAGGGGAAAAAATCAGCAATAAAATGATACCCCCTAACAATTCTACTACTGAAATGAATAAATTGTGAATCCTCCCTGATCTTGAGGGGAAGGGTTATGGAGGTGGTTGTTGCTATCTGACAATGTCCTCTTGTCTTTGACTGCTTTTCAGGTCGGGTTGTGGATATTTATTCCAAGTTTGATGTCATTGTGAGTATCTTCTTGATGTTTGACAATATGTTGCTCACACAGTTATGGAAGAACATTTATTTTTGTTGTGATCTCTCTCCTTGTGTGTGTGAATGTAAGGGGGTGGCATGGGGGGGGGGAGAGATCGCCTCTTGGCTCAACACCTCACTATCTTGTAAGCAGGATGGCTTACACTGATTATCTCCCAAATCATATAAAAAATCAAGACCATTGAAGAGCAAGTTCTGAACAAAAACTTGCTAAAGACTATAATGTGTTTTATGAAAATTTAATTGATTTGCTAGTTTGAAAGTAGAAGTGTCATAATATGTCACCATGTAATCATTTTCCAGGACTCAAAACTATTAGCACTTCATCTGTGGCAAGCCTCTTGTGACTTGAGTGAGTGACACCGCTAGTTGAAATTCTAATAGAATTTATTTATTTATTTATTTACTCTATTTGTATACCGCATATATCAGCCTGAGGCGGCGACTCAATGCGGTAGAACATCTGCCCAGTTGGATTATGACTTGGCTCATGTATAAACCTCAGAAGAATGGCCTGCCTCAGGGGAGCGTGCATTCTCCATCCATGTTTAACATCTACACAAATGACCAGCCACTGCCAGAAGGGACAGAGAGTTTCATCTATGCTGATGACCGTGCCATTACTGCTCAAGCAGGGAGCTTTGAGACTGTAGAACAGAAGCTCTCTGAAGCTCTAGGTGCTCTTACTGCCTATTACAGGGAAAACCAGCTGATCCCCAACCCATCTAAAACACAGACATGTGCCTTTCTTCTCAAGAACAGAGAAGCATCCCAAGCTCTGAAGATCACCTGGGAAGGAATCCCACTGGAGCATTGCAGCGCACCCAAATACCTGGGAGTCACTCTGGACCGTGCTCTTACCTACAAGAAGCAGTGCCTGAACATCAAGCAAAAAGTGGGTGCTAGAAACAATATCATACGAAAGCTGACTGGCACAACCTGGGGATCACAACCAGATACAGTGAAGACATCTGCCCTTGCGCTATGCTACTCTGCTGCTGAGTATGCATGCCCAGTGTGGAACACATCTCACCATACTAAAACAGTGGATGTGGCTCTTAATGAGACATGCCGCATTATCACGGGGTGTCTGCGCCCTACACCACTGGAGAAATTACACTGCTTAGCCGGTATTGCACCACCTGACATCCGCCGGGAAGTAGCAGCCAATAGTGAAAGGACCAAGGCAGAGACATCTCCAGCTCATCCCCTGTTTGGGTATCAGCCAGCATGCCAATGACTTAAATCTAGACATAGTTTTCTAAGATCTACAGAGACACTCGCTGGAACACCTCAGCAAGCGAGAGTCCAAAAGTGGCAGGTTCAAACCCAGAACCTCAATCCATGGCTGATACCAAATGAGAGACTCCCCCCTGGGCACACAGAAGACTGGGCAACTTGGAAGGCGCTGAACAGACTGCGCTCTGGCACCACGAGATGCAGAGCCAACCTTAAGAAATGGGGCTACAAAGTGGAATCCACGACATGCGAGTGTGGAGAAGAGCAAACCACTGACCACCTGCTGCAATGCAACCTGAGCCCTGCCACATGCACAATGGAGGACCTTCTTGCAGCAACACCAGAAGCACTCCAAGTGGCCAGATACTGGTCAAAGGACATTTAACCAGCTACCAAACTCACAAGTTGTGTATTTTTCTGTTTGTTTGCTTTGCTCTGTTAGAAATGTAATATAATGGACTGGCTGCTCTGACACGACAAATAAATGTATAAACCTGGAAATTTCTGGCACATGGTTGGTTTCACATAGGGTGGTGGGGGGAGGAGTGAAAAAGACATGCGAATTATAATGGCATCATGAATCCCTGAAGAGCAGGTGCTCAATTTGCTGAGCGTAGAAACTAGACAAGATAATGATACTGGGGGAAATGGAGAGGAAAAGGAAGAGGGGCTGACCAAGGGCAAGACGAATGGATGGCATCCTTGAGGTGACTAGCTTGACCTTGAAGGAGCAAGGGAGGGGGCGATGGCCGACAGGGAGCTCTGGTGTGGGCGGGTCCATGAGGTCACAAAGAGTCGGAAGCAACTGAACGAATAAACAACAACAGAAACTAGACTTCCTCTCAAGACTGCTGTTTTAAACTTCCTATCTAGACTTTTTGTGTCACGAGTGACTTGAGAAACTGCAGGTTGCTTCTGGTGTGAGAGAATTGGCCGTAGGCAAGGACGTTGCCCAGGGGATGTTTTGATGTAGGCTGGTCTGATTTCAGACTGAGTAAATAGGGTCAGGAAACTTCAGTAGCTCCCGTGTGCTTCTTGCAGTTGAGACAATGTACTGGGTGAAATTTAATATATGCTAACAACATTTACTTGATAGAGTTTTGGTCAAGGATTGAGGTCAAAAAAGAAAGTTTTCTTGAGTCTTCCTGGCTTAACGGCCTTATGGTTTTCCCTTTGACTTCTATCGGACATTAACATGACCATGAGATTGCTTTCTTGATGCTATTTTGCTATGAATTGGCTTCTTGATCAGTTCTTTGTGGCCTCCCTTGCATTGTCTTCAACTACAGTCTACCTTGATTTGTCTGATGTATGAATGGTTTTAGTTCCAGTCAGGGAGCTTAGGCACCCAGCCCACTTTTCTTCTATAAATGTGTTTCAAGTGGCCTGTGGCAAAAATAATACACAAGAGAAAAGGGATTGGGGGCTAGTGTGGGTCAGGTCACCTCACCTCCTGTTTCACTTTCTTGTCTTCCTGTGATCAGAACCTGGCGGCAGAAAAAACATACAACAACCTGGATGTGACTGTGACCAAAGCACTGCAGCACCGCTCTCAGTATTTTGAAGGTGTTCTCAAGTGTTACAAGCATGAAACTCTGGAGACGATAATCAACAGGCTGGTGGAGGCAGAGGTAATTTGTCATAGTTTGATTCCTTCTTGGATGCTGAATTTCAGGAGGGAAAGATGACTGGTACATATCAACCAACGAGGTTGATTTTTGCTTACAAGGACAATTTGTGTGTAGACTCTGACAGCTGTTTCCCACACAGCTCTGACTGTAGCACAGTTTACTTTGATCTTGCTTAAATTTGAGGTACTAGTCTTATTTCAAAATAGCAGGGAGCAAGACAGTTTTGTCCATGAGTGGAAAAGAAATATATGTGATTTCCTTAGTTAGTCACTTTGACAATCCTTGGATTCGGGAGTGGAAATTTGCAGGCACAATCAGCGATCTCTGTGGGCCTATTGGTACTCATATACAATCCCTTGATAACTCTATCATAATGTGACTTTTTTCAAAATATTTTTTCTTCAAGAAAAAGACAAAATACGAGGGTTATCCGGGAAGTAAGGTTACAAGACACGTAGCTCTCACAGAGAATTTCCTTGGGGGAAGTTGATATCACTGCCATGTAGTGGGAAGCCAGCAGAAGCAAATGGGCAGTGCCAGTCGTCAGTAGCCCATCGACTGGCATTGTAGTGAAGGTTAGAGATAAGCGCCCTCATTCCGTTTCCCTCAAAGTACAAAGTTCCCGCTGCAATATTTATTTATTTCCAACATTTCTACCCCATCCTTCTCATCCCCCGAAGTAGGACTCAGGGCGACTTACAATGGCAGCAATAATATGCTACCTAAATGCTAAAGGCATGAACGCCGCTGCAATTCATCGTGGAATTGTTTCAGTTTATGTAGAGGGCATAATGTCAAGACAGCATGTGACAAAATGGGTACAGAATATATTGTGAGACCATGAAGAAACTTCGCAGAGCCATCCATATCGTGGGATGCTTAGTCAATATAGTCAATTTGTCCATCATGGCTTGTTCACAGATTTTCATCAGCCATTCTTGTTGTGTTGGGATAATTAGTTCCTTCCATCTTTGAGCATATACACTTCTTGTGGCAGTTATACAAATTTTCTTTCTAAATGACCATCCAGCATTGCCAACAGAAAAAGTTAGGTCTCACCTGAAGTTTAACTGTAACAATATCTTCCAGCATCAAAAGTATTTGTGTCCAATTTTTCTGGGTCTTACAATACAGCATTTTGAAACAAGAAATGTGCATTGTTCTTCTAATTATCCCATATATACTTAGTTTCCTTTCTCTCAACCAAAGTAGGAAACATGTAGCTGTCCAGATGTTGTTGGACTGAAAGTCCAGCAGCCCTAGCAAGCATAGCACAGGGTGAAAAATGCTGGAAGTTATAGTCCAAAAATGTTATTTTATTATTATTTTTTGTGTTTTTGTGTTTATATTGTGTTTTACTGTATTGATGGGCCTGGCCTTATGTAAGCCGCCCCAAGTCCCCTTGTGGGAGATGGAGGCAGGGTATAAATAAAGTTTTATTATAATATTATTATTGGGAGGGCTGCATGTTGCCCACTCTTCTTCAACCTATTAATAATTGAACAAACCTCAATTTGCCCATCAGGTAACTGGGACTGTTGCTCCATCATTATATGTTAATATCAAATGTTTGTATTGGATGGCCTCTAATGGATTTTGGCTATGCTAAAACACACCCTCACAAACATGTTCTTTAACCATCAGGTTCATCGTCTGGTTGTTGTGGATGAGAACGATGTGGTGAAGGGTATTGTGTCCCTTTCGGATATCCTGCAGGCCCTGGTCCTTCCTGGTGGTCAGAAGCCCTGACTGTAGGAGGGAAGACCCCACCGTCATCATAGGTCTGAAGCCTGGCACAGTTGTCCTTTTCTGTATCACTTTTTGGCCTGAGCAGTCACACTGTGAGAGAGACTGTGTGGCACAGTTACAAACCAAGCCAAATATTTGCCCACTTCTAGAACGGATCCCTTTTGTCTTTTTTCCCCATCAAAACAGGCCATAAGTCTTCTCCTTCCCCATTTTGGTTGCAAAGGAGCCTTGAGACCTGTGGTCGCCTGGAGCTAAATGTATTGATTTAGTGCTTAAGTGCTGGTCAAAATGGGGTGGCTCTGGCTGTCCTTGAATGAGGAGGGAGATGGGACAAAAGGTCTAGCAGGCCTTGTAGTAAATATGTATGGAAGGGACCACTTAACAAAAGAAGAAGAAAAAACACTATCTAAAATACAGTATTCCAGGACATTGGCTCTGTAGCTCAACAGAAACAGAGACAACTCTCAGAGTGTGTTTACACACTCTTCTGCCAGCCGTGTGTATTACCACTTGCAGGTTTTCCTTCACAGTTTCTCAGGTGGGTGTTTAATCTGATTTGACAGCCTTCCCCATCAGGTGCTCTTTTGATGGGTTAGTTGGACTATAGCTCCCATAATCCCACAACCAGCAGGCACAACCAGCAGGCAGAGTCATCAGCATCCAAATTATGATCTTCTGTAAGCAAAATATTGTTTCAAGAGTCATCCTGATGTATGACTGCCCAGAACATGACTTTTTGTTTATTTTTTTCCTCCTCTCCTTCCTAGATTTTGAATACCTTGCTTTTGTCCGCTTGCCCACAAGGCAGTAGGGGGACTGTAGAGGGATGTAGTTAGTGTTGTCTGGTGGTATTGGGAAGTATTTGTCCATAAACACATGGCTTGGGCCACTTGGAGGACTACGTGGTTCCCAACCTTTGAGCCTCCAGGTGTTTTGGACTTCAACTCCCAGAAATCCCAGCCAGCTTACCAGTTGTTAGGAACTGTGGGAGCTGAAGTCCAAAACATCTGGAGGACCAAAGGTTGGGAACCACTGTAATATATAATTGCACTTCAACTACCACAGAAATATCCTATGACATCCTGCAATTTATACTTCAACTGAAAGGGCATTCTGGCTAAAAACTCTTAAACACTTCCTGAAATTGCAAATCCCAGAATACTGTGGGATGAAGACATGGCAGTTAAAGTGGGATCCAAGTGCTGTAATTGTGTCATGTAGAAGAGATCCATGTTTGAGACTCAGCACCTGGGTGTCCCTCACAGAGCCAGAGAAAGAAATGAACCCCTGCCCTGACAAAAGCCTTTCTTGCCATAAATCCCACCACTTTTGCACATTCCTACAGTCCCTTCCCTCTATGTAAATTGTACAACATGTATTTTTGTAAAGCCACATTTCTTATCTCAAATGCTCCGTCCACACTCTTTTTCTGTTTTTGGGGAACACCTGGATTTTCAGGTTCTCCCGCAGTTGAGAGTGTTTTTAATTATTTCAAATCCACATAGGGAACCCTCCCGAGGCCTTTCCTTCTGTGTGGGGCCATCCAGCTACTTGTTTTCTTGAGATTCTTTACTTAATAAAAACCAAATTTTCACATTTTGTTGTATTGTTGTTTTTTTGAGGGGAAAATTATTTTGGTAAACAATGCTGGGAGAGGGAAGCTTTCCTTAAAAAAGCTATTGAAAGTGTGCAGTGCTTGAATGTGAATAAAACTAAAAAAGGGGTATTAAAACTGTGACTTTTAATTTTACAGGTATAAAAATGGATGCTAGTGTGGTGGTACTACATGCAGTAGTAAGTGGCTAGTATGTCCTATTACTGATAGGTGGCACACATGTTTGGTGTAAAACCCACTGATATCAACAGTAAACTTCAAGCACAATACACAAGAGACTATGATAATAATAATTATTTATTTATTTATTTATTTATATCCCGCTTTTCTCCCTAAGGGGACCCAAAAGAGCTCACAACATAATACAATACAAATCAAAGCACATTTAACATAAAATACAAGACAAAAATCACACAAAGAATAATAACATCCAGAAATAAGACATACATAAATATTAAGCATTAAAACATTTGAAACCAATTACCAATTATTGCAGAGACTCATCAATTAAATAGTATATTTTACTAAGCTTCATGCAAATCGGCATTGCTGTCATTAGCCATTGAATTAATTCATCAAAAGCATGCTTGAACAGGTGGGACTTCAACTGGCTCTTGAAAGATAACAGAGGGGGGAGTTTTAATCTCAATGGGGAGGGATACACACATATACACATACACACACACACAGGAGCCCCTGATGGCGCAGTGGGTTAAACCACTGAGCTGCTAACCTTTTTGCCCCTGGGGAGCAGTGTGAGCTTCTGTTGTCAGCCCCAGCTTCTGCCAACTTAGCAGTTTGAAAACATGCAAATGTGAATAGATCAATAGGTACTGCTCCAGCAGGAAGGTAACAGCGCTCTATGCAGTCATACTGGCCACATGACCTTGGAGGTATGTATGGACAACACTGGCTCTTTGGCTTAGAAATGGAGATGAGCACCAACCCCCAGAGTCAGACACGACTGGACTTAATGTGAGGGGGAAACCTTTTCCTAACCATGTATGTGTCTGTATTTCTGTGGGAATGGTGAAAACAATAACATCTATTCATGAACATTTCCATTTCTGAAAAGTTAGTGCGCTCTGGATGCCAAGGCAGATTTCTGCTTTTGAACAGTACAGAAGGGGTGAAGTCTGCACTGAGTTGAATAAACCTGGGTACATCATTTCACTCCCAAACCAAAAAGAGCATCAAAGCAGTGGAAGCATGCAGACTCACCACCATTTCAAGCAATTTCAAACTTCATTATATGGCAATGTATATGGGGCCTGGTTCTCACTATTTGTATAGTGTTCCATGTTTTAAATGTGATATACATCAGTAGTAAAAAAAAATGTACTAAGAACGGACTAGAGCTTTACCCTCTGCAAACAAAATGTCACATGCACTCCTATCATGTGCTTTATAGGAAGGGACAATTAAAATGATAATATTATGTAGAATGATCCATCAGAGCTGTAATTGCTGAAACTGTGAAGCTTCAAAGTTCTTCTGGCCTGAATGGTTTGTCCTTTTTCTACATACCTTCCAAGCATGATGTCAGAAAAAAAAGGAGCTCCCCCTGCTCTCATTCTGGCTTGAACCTACTTCCAGGACCTACATCCCTGTCCATGGACCGGTGGCTCCTCTCTCTTTGCTAATATCCTCAGGGCCAGGAATGTGCTGAGCCAGCATCACTACCCAGACACCAAATCCCTATTTGTTCTGCCGGTGGCTTTTAAAAAGGCGGAAATCCCATCCGGCACCCAACTGGAGCCACGGGTGGTGATATCATCTCAGTGGAAAAGGGGAATACCATTGGGATGAGGCAGCTGTCAAGGAATGGGGTGCCCTGCCCTAGAGACAAAATGAGTGAAGTTGAAACAGAACAACAAGGCGGAGGTAGAGGTATTCAATGAAGTTTTTTCGAAAGACTGAGTAAATGAGAGGTATTTGATTTGGGACTTCTGGGTTGCTTTCCTAGTCATGAAGTGGGACTGGAAGAAGTAGAAGCTGGCTATGTTTAATTTTATTTATTTATTTTTGCTGTGGGAAAGGAATAAGTTCTGGAAGATTGCTAGTGGCAAAGAGGTACAAGGAGGGTCAGATCTATCCCTTGGTACTTAAGGAACTATCTGATGTAGGATGACATAAAAGGGCAGCAAACTGTTATGTACTTGGATGATCTTGTGAGGGTGTCTGGAGATGCAGTGTCGTGACTGTTGTATTGTACAGTTTCCACCACACCGTATCCCCTTCTTCTCTCCCCCACCTCCTTGCTGATGCAGCACATTCCTAGCAAGGTGGGAGAAGGACAAGAAGGTACTGGTTAAGGCAGCACATACTGGTCGGGGACTTCTTGAGATTTAAACACTTTGCATCTGATGCTGACAGATCTGGTGTATGTGTGTGTATCTGCCTTCAAGTCTCCTGTTGACTTGTGATGAACCCTTGAATTTCACAGGGTTTTCTTAGACAAGGAATGCCCAGAGGTAGCTTTGCCAGTTCTGTTCTCTAAAATATAGTTTACGGCATTGGTATTTCTTGCTGGTATGTAAGAACCCTGAAGTATTTGGTTTACTGATGTTTCCCTGAAGTTATATGAAAGAAATGAGAAGTTGATTGCAATGGACAAAACAAGCACATCCCGGAGCAGATTCGAAGTTGAGTGTTCATAATATTACACGTTTGCATAAAGGCTGGACTTCAATCTCACAGGAGCAAAGTCATGGCTGCTTAACAGGTACAGTACACTATTATTTTAGTTCCACTGGGTGATTTGTGTGTTGAAATATGATTGTGGTGGTGGGTGGGTGAATAGATAGCACAAGCCAAATCTGGATCTTCTTGTTTCAATAAAAATTGAGGCTAGACTGTATTGAAGATGTATAGAAGATGTAGGAAACCTCTGGCTTTTCAAATGTTTGGGACTTCCAAAAGTCCCTGCCAGATTTCCCAATACTATGGGATTATGGGGTTTGAAGCCCAAAATATTTATTTATTTATTTAGGACATTTATATCCTGTTCTATCTCAACCTCCGCAGAGGGACTCTAACAACAAAAAACATAGTAATACATATCAAGTAAAAAAAAACAGCATAAAACATTATAAAAACATTACAGCAATCGCCAATTTAAGTCACCATCCTAAAAACAGTCCATCAGAGTCCATTAAAACCATAGCTTTGCCATCAAGTCAAATTAACCCCGCAAAGGGTCACACTTCCCTAACTTTTGGTTTTTATGGAAAATATATTGATTAATGCCATACCTTACTGACTGGTGATTAGACAACATTTTGTCTGTTTCAAAACTCTTGTGAAGCACTGATTTCTGAAAACTGTTTCTTGGAGTATGGTCTGGTACATGGCCATACAAAAGCATGTATATTTATTTATTTATTTATTTCATCTACTTATACCCCACCCTTCTCACCCCGAGGGGGACTCAGGGCGGCTTACAGGAAAGGCACAATTAGATGCCCAAAACACACAACAAACAATACAAAATATAACAATTCAACAATTAAAATAAAACATCAATACCTAATAAAATCATAAAAACTATCTCATGTCAGAGTCCATATATCAGAGTCCATATATCCATTCCATTCCATTGTCCTTGTCTATCGACAGGTCCTTTAGTTAGTTGTCAGCATGGCCAAAAGCTTGGTCCCACATCCAGGTCTTTAGTTTTTTCCTAAACGCTAGAAGGGAAGTCGTCGATCTGATCTCCCCGGGGAGTGAGTTCCACAGGTGAGGGGTGTATATCTGACTGTCAATGTAGAAAATATGCTTTTTGTTGAATAGCTGAATAGATGGTATAGTTAATAGTATCTATATTGCTATATGGAGCATATCACTAGATCTTTTACATGCAAATAGCAGCAATAACTTCCATATTTTGTCTGCTTGCCTCCACCCTGGCAAATATGTTTGGCCATGGTCACCACAACTTCTCCTTGCAAATTCTTCTGTGTTTTGTTTCCTTTGTCACAATTTGAAGTTTGGAGGTACAACTCATATGTAACAATGAGATAACAATATACTATGCTTTTAAGCTGTGGGCATGGATTTATGCTTCAGACGGGTTTTGGCAAAAATCCTTGTCAGAGCTCAAAACCGGCTATATGCCTATGTGCTTACATAGAGAAGTCTTGTAAAAGTAGAGTGGACTTTATCCCAAAAATCTGAAATGTGACAAGATCCAATGTTTTGCCTCAATTTTCCCTTTCAAAGTGGAAGCTACAGATTCTCCAAAGATCTCTTATACAGTACTATTCTCCCTAAATATCAGGTCCTTTATACACTTGGTCTCTCAGATTCTTGGTCTCCAGCCTTGTATTTCATATACAATACAAGCAGTTAATGAATGAGATGTGAGGCTGGAGAGAGACGCAAGCAGTTGTCACGCATTCACACTGAGCGCTAGGCATGGATTCCCCCCACTCATAGCTATTAAAAAATATTCCCAAGCATTTCGAAGAAGGAATACTCAACCTGTATTAATGGTAGGGAGAGTTGTATTTAAAGAGATGGGGGAGTGGTGTGTCTCAGTGTGAACCTTGGCTAAGCTAAATATTTTTCCATATGCCAAATCACTGCCACTTTTTCTTTTCCTAATAGATCTGCTACTGGTCTTTGAGCACAGCCAGACCCACTAATATTGGAAAGGTGAGCTCTCCTTGCCAAGCTGACTAGGTTTCTGTGTATTAGGATCAGGATCTTGTAAAAAAGCAAAGTCACAATAGGAAGAAAGGAGAGTGGGAGGGAGGGAAGAAGGCTGATACCTTCAGGATTTCTTGTTTGTGAAATGAGAATCCCAATCTAAAAATTACATATGTTGTAACATCGTCTTGACACAATTTGTCAAGTGATGTGTTACACCAAAGTGAGGGAGAGGGTGTGTGAATATTGCAGACCCCTGTTTTCCTTGGTCACTCACTGGCCTTTCCAAAAACTTGGCTCTGTCCCAGCAATGGCAAGGGAACAGAAAGTGATGGCAAGGTCTTACCTCTCCCCCTTCACCTGCAAATAGCAAATGAGTCTGTGCCACAGACAGCTCAGCTAGCTACCCGCACTGTTGCCATCCGTTGCCAATGCAGTTGCCATGCTTGTGCTCAGTTGCTAGGTTTCACTTGGTGCTGGCGTGGGAGTTGTACTGAACTCTCTCATTTACTGGGAAATGTGTGAGGGAGGGAATGGAAGAAAGGAGAGTCAGCATTACCTGGGGCTGTGGGTTGAATGAATGTTTCTGAAGGTGCGGAGGTAGAGGACATTTCTTGCTCTCTAGCTCTACATGGGACCAAGCTCTAGAGGAATGAACCAAATTGGCAGATGTCCATCCCATGTACAGCATGTCTGAGCTGCCATTTGATACATATGAAATGAGATCCTTATGGCTCGTTTTCTATCTAGACTGGTCTAGATTGTCAAGTTCTGTTAGGTTCTTGGATGTCCTTAATTGATGGGATCTGAGCCATTGGACCTTGTTGCACAACAGTAATGGGAGACCAGGTAGGGTAGGCACCAACATTTCTTTTAGCATAGCACCATTTGATGCCAAGGAGTCCAGGACTATGTCTGATGAGCCCTAGAGCCCATTCCTTCCTGTTTCTATTGCCTGTTCACCCTCACCATTTGAGCCTAAACTTTAATACTTCTCACAGGGAGGGAGGGAGGGAGAGAAAGAGAGAGGGAGGGAGAGAAATAAGGTCAACTATATGGAAACTATTGGTAAACTACATGGAAACTATTGCTCCTTTCCTTGCTCTGTCAGAGAGGGAACAACTGAGAGGAAACTTGACAGAGCTACAAAGCAATAAAGATAGGAGGTAGGTCCTCTGTAGCTACAGAAGCCCCTTCATGAGCCCAGTGATGGCGACACATGGTGCCAGCCCTGCAAAGTCACAGGGTTTCCAAATCCCTATTGGTGTTTGCAATACAGCCATGTTCTCACTCTTGAATCCAACTGATTGCCAGCAACCCAGTAAGTTTCTGTTTCTAGGTAGAAGATCTAAGTGGTGGTTTAAAAGATGATAAAAAGCAAAAGAACTGCCCACTTTGCTTCCTTTGAAGGAGAAATCCTCTGACCTTTTGACAAATAGTTGAGCTGGACAGGTAGTAAAAAAACAAAACAAGACACTGCCTCATCCCATGTCAAATGGTTACTTCGTTTACTAAGTTCTCAGTGCTACCTCTATGCAATTTAGAAGGAGCATTCTAGTATTTCAGACAAGAGACCAGGCCCATAGCCAGGATTTCATTTCGGGGGGGGGGGGGGGGAAATATTTTCAGGGGGGGGGGGGGGGGGGTGGGGGGGGGGCTGAGTCTGAGTGAAAGAGGGTCTAGCCTAGCAAACCTTTTGTATCATGACCCCAATACCCCCATGCATATGGGATATATTGAGTATGGTGATCAGATCATGATATGAATAAACATAACAGTTTAAATAATGCACCAGTAAGGCCTTTTCGCGAACCACCATGAAAATTTCGGGGGGGGCTGAAGCCCCCCGAGGCCCCCCCCCCCCCCCGGCTACATGCCTGCAAGAGACTAGGATGTTTCAGCCTATCTGGAGATACTGAAGGCCTACATATCCTAAAGGCATCAGATCCTTGCAAGCTAAGCAGAGTCAGCTCTGGTTAGTTTGTTGGAAGGCAGATAACCAATCAAGAATGTGTGTTATAGGTGCTGTTTCAGAGGAAGGAACTAGCAAAACCACTTCAGAGTATTGCCTATGTAAGAAAACCCTACCAAAAAAGTATTGGGCTTGCCAGAGGTTGACAGGAGGCTTGAGGATGCGCATGCAGAAACATGTGGAGAAGCTAAGAAGCGAACCTGAGACATTCTCTGTGAAAAGTGTGTTCTATGTTACTGAGATGCAGGGCCAGCATCTGGTAAATGGGATGGTAGTTGCAGGTGGGAGTGACTTCTTCTAGTGTTTGTTATACAGAGGAAAGGAGAAGTCAAACATAGTCAGTCAGGCACTCTAGACATTAAGAAAGCTGACTTCAGGTAACTTAGGGAAAAACTGAGTATGATCCCATGGTCAGTAACACTAATGAGAGAAAGGAGTTCATAATGGATGGGATCCATCACTGAAAAGTGAGAGATTGGAGGCACCGTTCCAACAGTTCCAATGAGGAGGAAAAATAGGAGATGTCTAAAGAAATCAGAATGGCTGTCTAAGGAACTTTTAGTTGACCTAAAATTTAAAAGGGACATTACCAAAGAGAAATTCAAACAAATAGCATGTGTAGGGAAAAAGTTAGAAAAGTCTAAGCACAGAATGACTCAGGCTTGCTAGAGAGGCTAAAAACAACAAAAAAGGCCTTTTTTTTGGTAATGCCTGTAGCAAAAGGAAGAAGAAGGAAATGGTAGGGCTGCTGCGTACTGGGGATGGCGAAAGGCTGACAGGGGAGAGAGAAAAGGCAGAGCTCCTGACCACCTTCTTTACCTCAGTCTTCTCCCAAAAGGTTAACAGTGCTCAACTTTGAGAGGATGGAGTAGAGCAGTGGTTCTCATCCTGGGGTCCCCAGATGTTTTTGGCCTACAGCTCCCAGAAATCCTAGCCAGTTTACCAGCTGTTAGGATTTCTGGGAGTTGGAGGCCAAAAACATCTGGGGACCTCAGGTTGAGAACCACTGGAGTAGAGGATGCAGGACAAATTAGAGAAATACAGGGATATCTGGCTGATCTGAATGAATTCAAGTCTCTAGGACCAGACAAACTATATCCAAGGGTATTAAAAGAACTTCAGAACAAATGGAATCCATGGAGAACAGAAGTCCCAGTGGACTGGAGGAAGGCAAACATGGTCCCTACTTCAAAAAGAGCAGGGGAAACCCAAATTTCAGGAAAACAGGTTGCACCTGAACATTAGGTAGACCTTCCTGTCAGTAAGAGCTGTCAGACAATGGAACGTGTGGGGGAGTCTCCTTCTCTGGAAGGTTTAAAGCAGAGGCTGGATAGCCATCTGTCAGGAGTGCCTTCATTGTGTGTTCCTGTATGGCAGAAGGGGGTTGGACAAGATGACCCTTGTGATCTCTTCCAACTCTATGAATCTATGAGTCTATTATTTCCTTCCCAATTAAGTGTCATGGCATGTTATAGTTTTAGGGATGGCTAAATCCTACAAGGACAGATGTGTTGATTTTGGTAATGTAGTACAGCAGAGTGAGGTGAACAATATACCAACTCTCACATATCTGTGGCACTTAGCAGTGCAGCAAGATACAAGGGCAATGGAGAAGTCAATATTCCTGGCCAATTTTATTGGTTTATTCACTTTATGTATTGGATTTCCATACCATTCTTTACAATAATTCATCCCAAATTGAAAACAAATTTTTTTGAAATGAATAATAGAAGACTTTAAAACATGAATATATACACCACAGTGCAATCTCCTGTGTTTAATGCACAACTTTCTCAGCATAAAAAGCACGACACAACTCATTCTAGTCTCCAAGAGGCCAGCCAGATACCCACAAAAGACAATAACATAGAAGCAGGAAGCATTTAAGAGGTAAAACGTGTGTACTTTTATTTATCTTAATGTATCAACAGGTATAAAGGGGTTTCATGGGCAGAGTGAAAGAAAGGAGGGCCCGGGTTGGGATGAGTACTGCCTTGTGCATGAAGAGATGTGTTGAAGCCATGTGAGTTGCTTCCATGTGTGAGAAAACAGAGAATGCAGGCTTTTCCTGTGTGATGTGCTGTGTCCTTGTGTAGCTGTTGCTGTGTTACGGTTCTTGCAGCAGCTTGTGGTGGCAGAGATGCTCTGTGAGTGTATGTGTGTGGTCTCTATGTACAGAACAGAGCGTGTAGCAATGCGAGAGCATCTCGGTGGGCGTAGCTGCTTGCCTGATGTGCCTTTGCACGTGTGTGCACAGCCACGTGTCTCTGTTTTTCTCCCTGTATGTTTCTTCGCTTTCTCTTCATTGGCTTTACTTGCAGCCACCTGCCCTCGAGCAATCTGCTTTACCAACCGACCCTCGCCCTGGGCTGCATGCTGCTGGGAATCCTTATCCTTCTACCTATCTGCCTGCCATGTGTTGTGTGTGGGGGTTGTAATGCACCCCCAGCCTTTCTCTCGTGGTGCGACTGTGTTGGCACCGGCAACTGCCTGATGTCCCGGCAACGAGGAGGATGCTTGAACGTTTGAATCCAGGTGATTTCAGGTGTCTTCGGGTCTGCAAGAGAACAACCTGTTCCTTGTTGCATCTAACACAGTCTCTCGTTCCAGCCAGATCACCATGGAAGCAGGGGGGACATGGACCGGGAAAGGCTACGCTGCCCCATGGATGTACCACAGTGTGCCTGGGCAGTACACGTGAGTCCTATACTCTTTTGAAGGGGGTGCTGCTTGAACAGGAGGAGGCAAAACCCAACTCCCAGCACTGGAGAGGGCTCCATAGGTTGGGATCACATTGCTCCAGGGCTGCATCAAGTGAAAGGTCACCTCTGGGATGGCAGAGGAGGTGGGACTTGGTTTAAGATTTGAGGGGTTTTTAAACAGTGGGTTTCAAACAGATTGAATAGTAGTTCATTAACATGTCTCATAGTAGGTTTTCACTTCTTTAAAGCTTTGTATTATTCCAATCACCTGTACAAGAAACAGCTTGTATAGTGATATGTCCATAATATGGACTAGGATGCTGAGGCTAAAAGGTATGTCATAGTTGACCTCCAGTTTGAACTGGGTACTTGGCAGCTCATTGTATATGCTCTTAAATATGATACCCCTCTATTTTGGAGCCTCCAGTGGCGCAGCGGGTTCAACTGCTGAGCTGCAGAACTTGCTGACCAAAAGGTAAGCAGTTTGAATCTGGGGAGTGGGGTGAGCCCCTGCTGTTAGTCCCAGCTTCTGACAACCTAGCAGTTCGAAAACATGCAGATGTGAGTAGATCGATAGGTACTGCTTTAGCGGGAAGGTAACAGCGCTCCATGCAGTCATGCTGGCCACATGACCTTGGAGGCATCTATGGACAACGCTGGCTCTTTGGCTTAGAAATTGAGACGAGCACCAACTTCCAGAGTTAGACATGACTAGACATAATGTCAAGGGGAAACCTTTACCTTTAACTATTTTGGAGCTAGTATATTAGCTTGAACTGAGCTTGGGCCACTGTTTTAATTTCCAAAAAGATAAATGCTAAGGTTCAAATATGCTTGGAAGTCATAAATCTGTTTTTTTAAAAGCTCATGGGGCAAAGAGCAGCACAAGGTGGGCATGTAGACAGGCAGTCAGGTGGTATTTTGTACATACTCAGAGGCACTCTTTTTTTGTCATGATACTGAATTTGAGGATCAGTCCAGTTCAAGGATCATACTCTGTTTAGATGTAAGAGACCCATTCAGGTTCAGATTGTTTGCTGAGCTCTGTTGCCTTTTATCTGTCAGCTGAACCTGTTCACTGGGGTTCAGCTCAGTGATGCAAGGACTGAAAACCGCTTGTACTTATAGAATGTTCTGGAAAATAAAAAATAGAAATAATTCATTCAGAAGAATATTTCCTATATCCACCTAGCTGGAACTAAGTTGTTATTTTGCACTGCTTGCTCCTAATATGAATTTATTTGAAATACAAAACATCAAGATTTATTATGGGAATAAAAATTGGATCTGTGTTAGATTATGACACAGAGGAAGCCTGTCCAAGTCTTGTCTGAAGGGGTGGGGGTTGCATAGTAGTTTTTAAAAAGCAGGTTTACAAAGTGCACTTCACACTAACAATAAAAATCTGAAAAGAAAGATTGCTTTTCTCTTTGCTTTCCCCCTTTGATCCATAGCTACAATTTATATGTGAACCTTTCTTGGTTCAATAATAAAATTGCCTGCCAATCCATCTGACAGATATGGCCAAAACAGGCCCATCTGAAACACAGATTCCCCATCCCCAGGTTCAAAATAATTCTGGATTTTTAAAAGGTTTCTGCAAAGGTTTCCCCAAGTTCATGTAGATATAAACCCCCATTCCATTTTTTTTCTGTGTCAGGAGCAACTTGAGAAACTGCACCAGGGGCTCCAGAGCCAGATCAGAAGCTGACTGCATAAGCAATTGCACCCACCAGACCTGAGCCTCTGCAGCAGTTTAGGGTACCGTGAGGGCAGTATATACAGCACTGCCCTTCATACTACACAGAAATAGTGCTCTGATTCCAATTTATTTCTTATGGCAATATCCCGTCGGATCTTGGGGTCTGTAGTTTATTGGGAGAGCTCTTTGGAATCCAGAAGGGAGCTCTTCTGGTGCTTCTGACCAAGCTACAAACTCCAAACAGAATCATTGTCCTATAATTGTATAGTATGAAAGGATTCACAAGGAAACAGCCGGAGTAATCATGAAGTAAAGAGGGGGTACCAGTATCTGCCACCTGAGGCAGTTGCATCAATGTATCTAATGTTAGTGTTGTTTCTCCTTACCAAATGCTAATTGCTTCCTCCCCCATATTAGCATTTTTAACAGAAAATGTGGATTGCAAGCTGCATAGAGCTAATGGTGCAATTAGAGTCTTTACAATGGCTTTATGTTCCTTTAGGCTTCCTCTGTGTCATAATGCAAGTCCCTTTATGGCAGTGGTTCTCAACCTTTGGGTCCTCAGGTGTTTTGGCCTACAACTTCCAGAAATCCCAGCCAGTTTACCAGCTGTTAGGATTTCTGGGAGTTGAAGGCCAAAACATCTGGGGACCCACAGGTTGGGAACCACTGCTTTATGGGTCACTGTGTATTTAGTTACAATGTGTTTGTTCTTTTAAGTCACCCTACAGACTTTTCACATGACTTACATAGGGTTTTCTTAGTCAAGGAATCATCAGAAGTGGTTTTGCCAGTCCCTTTTTTAACATATCCTAAACCACCTTCTATTGGTTTCCTGTCTCCCATTCAAGTACTAGCCAGGGCTGGCCCCTGTTTATCTCCCAAGATCAAATGGGATCTGGTATTTAGGACATTTAGTAAGCCAGTCATGCTACATTTGCAGGTTTTCTTGTTCATTCTCCTCAATGAAGACCTGTGAGGTCCCACTCTGCTGGCACCACTGTTTGGAGTGCTGCGTATCCCTATTTAACTATCAATAATAGCTCTATAGTGAGATGTGTTGGGGAATCTGAGCTGTTAGGCTCAAAAATAACCCTCCGTCAGGGTAATTCCACCAAAATATAGCAGAGTACCAGGAGTAGACTCCATAACCAGCAGGAACTTAAGTGTGGTGGAACAAGATAGCCTTCTAATCTTTAGGATGGCTTAGGATTGCAGAGTCAGAACTTTAGGTTCAAAAATGTATTAAAGTAAAAAGTCAGAAAAGCTTATTAGGTGGCCGATGTGTAGATAGTGTTTCTCTTCATCTCAGGCAGCAAAAACATACCAATGTCAAAAGGGCATTGCTTTACTTCTCTTCCCTTTCTGACTTCTCTTCTTTGTGTCCTTCACAGGCTCTTGGAGAAACAACTCATCTCTGACTTGTCCCCCTACCGGCGCCGCCCCATCTCCCGGGTGCTCCAGGACTCCACCAACTGGCATAATGCGCAGCTCCCACCTCGCTGGGGCCTGCCGAAGCAGGAGAGCCAGTGGCTTTCTGGGAAGGACTTGAGCAGGGCAACCTCATCCCCAAAGGCCCAAAGGCAGCAACCACTGTGGCCGCCACCACAGTGTAGCCCCACTTACGAAGGCCTGCGCCCAATCTCTATGAGGGATGGGAGCTGGGGAGCAAACAGCCCTCCAGAAGGGGATGTCCCCATAGGCTTCCTTGCTGGAGGCTCATTTGCTGCTGGTCCAAACTGCCATTGGTATCCTGGGGGAACCTCTGCAAAGAATAGGGTCAATCCTCCTGCTCGGGCCCCTCCAAGTTATGAAGCCCATATGCTGTTGCGCCTCCGGGCTGGGCAAGGCCCCCGCAAAGAAAACTGGCCTCATCCTCCACCTTATGTTGCTCCACCATCTTATGAGGCACCCCACCGCACAGTCCGGCCCCAGTCCAAGCTTTTGCCATGCCAGCGTCCACATAAGGAAGCTTTAACAGGAAAGCAGATCCAAACAGTGGGGCCCAAGAAGTATGGGGAGAGAGTAACAGGGACCTGTGAGACAGGCGGGTCATTGAGCCATGCTCCTGGCAGAAAGGCAGGGAGGCGCCAGGTTAAAATCCCTGGTAGCTGGAGCTACCTCTCTGGAGCCAGCACATGGGGTGGCCACCGGAGGGAGCCACAAAGGTCAGAGTCCGCCTATGGCCTGATGCCCAGTTGGGACACGAGCCCCCAACATCAAAGCCACACTCTCCCTCGAGTAAGTAAGAGGAATAAGGGGCTGCCTGTGCCCGTGCCTTGTCCTCCTCAGCACACACTCCCAGTGGGTTGGGGCTTTAGCCACGCAGTAGGTTGGGCCCCCGGAGATGTGCAGGATGGTGGGAGCAAAGTGGGAGATAAGCACAGCAGAACCATCTTGCCCAAGTGGAAGGAGCCAAGCCATGCCAGGGACCCAGGGGGGAGCCAGGGGTCGCTTTCAAAGCTGGTGTCACAAAAGCGTGGTGGTCTCTTTGTCATTGATGCCACATGTGTGGTCATCCAGGCCCACTACATCCCAGCTCCCCGGACAGAGCGAGTCCGTTATTTGGGCCAAGAGGGAATGGACAAGGTCAAGGCTCCCTTGTCCCCTGGTCCTGTAGCTCCGGCCTCAATGGAGGAGCGTGCTGCTCGTATCCTGGGCCTATCTGTGAGTGAACTGGGGTTCACAGAGGTAGGGAAAGGTAAAAATGTGGGACCCGGGATGCCCGAGCAAAAGCTTAACAAGGGCTCTACAGCCGACCTGGCTGTGTCCAAGGATATCTGTGGAGCAGGGCAGCATAAAGGGGCTCCTTCTCCCCCAGCCAGCCCTAAGGAAACAACCATACTCACCCCAACTCCCAATAATTTCCAGATAGAGCCTACACAGCAGGTGCTGCATAACCCCGAGGAAACAGTAACACCAGCAGTTCCTTGCCAGGAAAGTGGCTGTGCTCAACTACAGCGAAAGGAAGAACCAGAACCAGAACCAGTGTTTTCCCCACAGAGCAGGTCTTATGCCCTGGATCTGAAAGAAGCCATGTCAAGAATCCGCCGGCACACAGCCCCAGATTCAGACACGGATGAGGAGATAGAGAAAGATTGCCAGCCGGTCTGTGGGCGACCAGCTGAGTGGCGAGGGCGGCTGAATGAAGGGGCTCTCTCTTACAGCAGCAGCAGTTTAGACAGTAGCAGTTCCAATGCCACGGTGGTGCCAGGGAATGCTACTCCTACCCCGAGAAATCAATCAGAACAGCCCCCTGTGTGTGAAGGAAGCCACACTGGTCCAGGCAGTGCAGTGGCCATGAAGACAGATTAGAAGAAAAGACTGTGGAATAATTTGGAGCCTTCATTCGCCCCACTTTCCCAAGTGCCTGGTTTCCCCATGCCTCTGCCTGCTCCCCTTTGCCAGAAGCTCAGGGACATTGGTGGATTGTAGGGGATGGAAAGATACACATGGTCGTAAGCCTCTCCAGGACTGTAACTATGGGGGCTCCTAAATGATGGCATTTCACTCTCACCCAGTAATTCCATACCTTTAAAGCATTCCCAATTAATTGGAAAGCCCGATTAATCCTCTGCCACCCCATGTTTTAGGAGCCCCTGGTGGCATAATGGATTAAACCCTTGTGCCAGCAGGACTGAAGACCAACAAGTTGGATGTTTGAATCTGGGTAGGGTGCAGATGAGCTCCCTCTGTCAGCTCCAGTTCCCCATGTAGGGACAAGAGAGAAGCCTCCCATAAGGATGGTAAAACATCGAAAACATCCAGGCGTCCCTTGGGCAATGTTTTTGCAGACTGCCAATTCTCTCACACCAGAAGTGACTTGCAGTTTCTCAAGTCGCTCCTGACATGGAAAAAAAACCCATGTTTTCAGCTGCTTTTAAAATGCTGCAGTTTCTCTTCCTTGCTCCCTCTTATCCCTTTTACCCTCAGCTTACTTCACTTGCTACTAACTGAGCTCAAAATACAGACATAGTTTGGAGTCAACTAATCTGACAGAAGGAAATTGAAAGGAGAGTTTCAGGCAAAAGCAAATGGCTCCAGCCTCTCTTAGCTTATGTGCTCGTCCGCATTATAACTTCTCCAATACTGATTGTTGATATGTTGCGTGACTGCATACGTTCTGCTTTCAATTTTGAAATGTTGGATGGGATGGAATTCTGTCCCCAAAGTGACATTTTCAAGAAGTCCTCAAATCTCTAGCACTGCAGAGCTGGGCATCAAAACCAATGCACACCTAGATTTTTTTCCATTTGCTGTGTTTGTTTTCCTTCGGTAAATTTGCCTGCTCCTTTTCTCTGGGTGCCCTAACTGTATTTCTAAATGCTCAACTAAAATGAACATTACTCCTTTAGTATAAATTTGGGGACTAAAGAAAAATTTCATTTTAGGGGGAACAATTTTTCTATTGGGGAAGGAGGCAGCAATGCCTTCATTCATCCCTCCTCCTTCATATCTACACCCATGGCTTTCTCCCAGCTGTGCCCTGTATTCTGTGTGCAAAACAGCAACAAAGGGATCTCCACACAATCAGGGGGCAATAAACCTCTGACTACTCAATAACGACAAGAGAAGCCATCACCACAGTACCTTATAATATCAAACCTCCCCACCTAGCCTTAGTTGAGGACACAAGCACTGCCTGGCGAGAAGAGGGACTCCCTTTGGCTTCATCCTGATTGCAAATGTTGACCTTGCAGTGGGCAATAAACCTGCCAAGACCTTTTCTGCTTCTCTGTTTCTGTGCGGCTATTGTAAGAAATTCTATGTGTGTGGGGCAGTGTTATGAATAGTGGATATAATAATAAAGTTATGTTAATCTGAGAAGTTGAGAGATGGATTCTCTATTTGGTTATTCATCTTCTCATTGTGCTACCTAGTTTGGTCTTGTTTGATGGATTCTCTATTTGGTTATTCATCTTCTCATTGTGCTACCTAGTTTGGTCTTGTTTGCTCCAGAGATGATCAAAAGTACAATAGTATTCCTGGCACCCTTCAAAAATCATTTCTAAAATCTTGGCTGCCCAATTAAGCTATGCAGAATTAAACTATGCACACAAGTTTATTAGTGTGCTGTGCATAATATTTTCCCAGTTCTGTGATCTGCCAGAATGGAACTAGAATCATTAGCAAGCACAATCATATGCATATTGAATCAGGAGTCAGACCAGTGGTTCTTAACCTGTGGACTATGCACCACCAGTTGGCCACGAGGATGAAAATCTGGTCGGCAAGCCTCCTTCCTCTTTATTTTAGTTTATTTTAGTTTATTTCTGTTCCTTTTGCACCACCTGCCACTTTTTCCCTGTCGTTGACCAGCTCCAGCCCCCTGGATAGACCGCATCAGCTCTAGGTATTGAATATTTTCTGTGGGCGAGCAGATGGTGACTACTGGATGGCATATGTTCTGGATCAGAAACTGGAAATGATGTGGTCTATCCAATGTAATTTTCTGAATCAGCACCCCAAATAACCAAATAGAATCTAAAGTTGACCAAAAATTGATTTGTAATCCTTTTGGTACTAATGTTGGAGAGTGATCCCTGGTCAAAGTGGTCCATGGTCAAATGGTCCCTGGTCAAAAAAACAAACTTGAGAACCACTGGGTTAGATCAAGGGAGATATTCCTAGGTCAGCCAAAGACTATTCTGTGGCTTTTCAACATGTATGTTAACATTTGTGGATAAGACCCCAACAGAAAAAGAGCAATAGAAAGCTAATAGCTGCCCAAGTTGCAAGGTCTTTGAGGGAGGGATTTCTCCTGGTCCCACCACCATCGGGGGCATGTCTAATGAGGACTCGGGCCCCTTCCACACAGCTGAATAAAACCCCACATTATCTGCTTTGAACTGGGATATATGGCAGTGTGGACTCAGATAACCCATTCAAAGCAGATATTGTGGGATTTTCTGCCTTGATATTCTGTGTTAGATTGCAGTGTGGAAGGGCCTTCAGAAGAAGCCTGCTAGGCAGCTGAGCCCAGGCTATGGAAATGTCTACTAAGAGAGATTTGGTTGGCTTCCTATTTGCTCTCAGGCAAGGACTTCCTCAAGGCAAACCCAGTTTAAGAGTTTCTTGGCAAGAGTTGCTCAGAAGGGTTTCCTATTGCCTTGCTCTGAGGCTGAGAGAGCGTGACTCGGCCAAGACCACCCAGTGTGTTTCCATGAATGGGCAGGGATTCAGATCCTTGTCTCGTCAAAATTCAGCAGTATGCTCTGAAGGATTCTGATTCTTGACTAATATATTTAATGTGTTGTTCCTTTTCTTTCTTTTTTTTCTACTATCAGGGATGGGGAATGTGGGAGCTTTTGTCTTGGGTGCCAAAAGAAAGCAGCTTGCCTTGGTTGCTCCAACTTGGGTGATGACAGGTGGCATTTGCTGCTACTCTGTCAGCAAAATAGGACCACCTTTGCTTCCTTCAAGTATGCCCATTGTAAGAAGTCTACTTTTCAAAATCACTAAAAGCTTTATTTTGCATGATAGCAGAACACAATAAAAAGTGTGAGTGGTTTAACAATTTCAATTGTTTTCAAAGGCCTCACTCAAGAAGAAACCATGTATGAATCCAGAGAAAAGTGTGCACTTTTTCCTTAACCACTGGATGGTGCTCTGTCTCCATGATTTGGCTTTACTCTCACTTGTAGTGCGCACAACCATTTCCCCAAGTTTATCCATCAAGCTTTCTGTTGAAAGGAATTGGCTTTGGGAACTCTTGATTCCCAGTTTCTGTTTCTAAAGCCAGTCTGGGGGCCCTTCCCCACAGCCCTATATCCCAGAATATCAAGGCAGGAAATCCCACAATATCTGCTTTGAGCTGGGTTATCCGAGTCCATACTCAGATGAGGGATTTTCTGCCTTGATATTCTGGGATATAGGGCTGTGTCGAAGAGTCAGAGAATGCCTTTTTAGATCCTCCAATGTGATTGTATGGCCTGTGTTCTCTGTTGGTCTTCTCAGCTGCTAATGCCAAAATTAGAAGAAATGGGAGGAAAGGGGGAACCTCAAGAGACAGATATGGCTCATGATAAATGCACTGACCATCACATTAACAAGAGAACATTACTTTAAACTGAAAGTTGTATATGTTTCCACCAGAAGAGGGACACCAAATCTTTTCTGGTTCAGTTAGCCAGGCGGATCATAGACTGAAAGCAAAAATATTATCTTTACCAAAAGGCTTCTGAAGTGTGTCTACTGGAATGGGGGGCGGTGGGTGGCTAAATAAGGGTTTTGCTACTCATAAAGGAATTCTAACCCATTGAAAGTTTCTTTCATTTCTTAAATTTCTAACATTACAGAAAGTGAGACATAGAAACTCATTTACACTGGGAGGTCTTCTATTTGTTGGGCTGTGTCAGCTTTTGGGAGCTTTTTTCTATGGGTGCCTAAATTGTACTTCCTATTTATTATTATTTATTTTTTACTGTATTTATATACTGCTTTTCTCACCCCTGGAGGGACTCAAAGTGGTTTCCAACATAGTCACGGCAAAATTTAATGCCAAACATACATGTGGAAAACCAAACATAAAATCAACAATAAACATATGACTATGAATTAACTATTACAATAATATTAAACCATAAAACATAAGCAACATTTAGACATTGAAACATATAATTAAAACATATTAATATAAATATTAAAAACACATCCAAAAACCGCAATCCTAGTCTATTATTTATTTATTTATTAACCATATTTATATACCGCCTTTCTCAGCCCGAAGGCGACTCAGGGCAGTTTACAAATGGCACAATTTGCTGCCTACAGTAACAAAGAACAATTAAAACATTTAGCATAAATAACCTTTTATAAAATAAAATAAAACTGATAAAAGTATAAATCCACAGCGTCTCATTACTAACATCATTACCCAATCGCATTGTCCAGTTGTTCCAAAGATCAGAGTTTGTCTGCTACACTGCATTTGGGAAAGCTTGCTTAAAAAGCCAGGTTTTAACTTTTTTTCAAAATGTTAGGAATTCCAATGTCAGTTGCACATAATCCCTGCTTATTTCTTGCACTGCTTACTAACCAAAGGATTGGTCCCACAGTCAAGTCTTCCCTTTCTTTCTGAAGGCCAAGAGGGAGGGTGCTGATCTAATCTCACTGGCCGAGGGGCCACCACTGAGAAGGCCCTGTCTCTTGTCCCCACATGCTTGTGAAGGAGATGGAACCAAGAACAGCGCCTCCCCAGAAGATCTTTACCTCTGAGATAGTTCATAGAGGGAGATACGTTCAAACAGGTAAGCTTGGCCAGAACAGTTTAGGGTTTTATAGGCTAAATCCAGCACTTTGAATTGTGCTCAGTAGCAAACTGGCAGCCAGTGGAGCTGATGCAACAAGGGGGTTGTATGCTCGCTGTATGCTGCCCCAGTGAGGACTCTGGCGGCCCGCCTGCAGGACCACTTGGAGCTTCTGAACAGCCTTCAAAGGCAACCCCACATAGAGCGTTTTGCAGTAGTCTATTCGGGATGTAACAAGGATGTGGACCACTGTGGCCAGATCTGACTTCCCAAGGTACGGGAGCAACTGCCGCACAACTTCCTAATGCTCAATTGAGGATTTGTTACTGTGATGCTAGAAAATTGAATATATCCTTAGGAGCCATAATTCTTACTTGAGAGGGGCAATGAATACCAGGCACTGCAGCATATATTTCATGGGAAGGAACTGGCAAAACCACTTCTTGTGTATTCCTTGCTTAAGAAAACCCTTTGAAATTCATGGTATCTCCATAGGTCTACGGGAAACTTGAAGGCACTCACACAGATGAGATCAAAAATGGCAGAGAAGCAAGAACATTTCTTTCTATATCTAGATCATCTGTTCCAAGCTGTTATTAAGGATGATTAAGAAAAAAATAATATATGAGCACATCTGTTCCTCCAGGTTGAAGACTTTGAGGCCATAGATCTTGAAAGTCTGTCAAATCTCCATGTATCAACCAAGATTGTGAGGCTAAACAAAGATTGCTGCTTCTTTTTCCCTTTATCTTTAAATACTACATGCTGGAAAGGTAGAACAGTCTTCTCCCTGCTGGGAATACACATATCTATTGAGCTTGGCTGGTGAGGATCTGAGAAATATTCATTTCTGTTCATAATGGAATAATTTATCATAATTCACAAATGCCTTCATATTCAGGTCAAAGAGACTATTTAAAAAGGCTGAACATGAGAGAAAGCAAAACTGACAGATCTCATTGTTCAACCATCACTAGCACCACAATGCTGCAATGATTGGGGGCAAAAGAAGATGGCAATATAATCCAGGGAAATAGCATGTGGTTGAAAACTGACCTCCTCTCCCCCAGGACTATTGTTCTGACTAAATTGAGTCACACTTCTCTTTATGGCTGTTCTCTGGTCAAAAAGAAAAAAAAGAGATAAAAATGTCCTTTAACTTTTTACTGTCTGCCCAACTATAATGAAGGGATTGGACAAATTACTGTTTCTCTTTTGGCTAAAAAATGTTGGTTTTCTGCTAATTTTCTCTTTGATGTATTTATTGAGATTAATTATTTTTGAGGTCGGAGGACTTTTCATCCAAACCCTTTTCTTTTTCTTTAATTGCTTTTAACGTGTTTTTTAAATGGAAAATCTTTTTGTGGAAGTCTTATGACTCAGCCATTCTGGCCTTCACAGTCTTACAAAACTCTGCAGATGAGAGAGAGAGAGGCCTCCCACGGAAGAAGCTCGTGAGTGTGGGTTGCATTTTAGAGACAAAACATTGATATCCTTGGAGAAAATAGCAAGTGACATTCATGAGCAAAATCCAGAACTTTTGACTGGAATCAGATCACCACCCATTTACCATCAACTTCAATTAAATCCGAAGCTAT